CCCATCACAACCCACGGTAGCAATAGCATCGATGTCTATTCCTTCGTGCGCCTCTTGCAATGAACCCACTAAATCGAACGAGGAAGAGGTCTCGGCTGGCCCAGAGTCCAGTCCCGAAAAGGGCGAGAGGGTGAGTTCATTGCATTCGCTGCCAAAAAGTACATAGATCCATAGATGCAATGGTTGAATGTACAAGTATCCCAAGGTGGCGATGCTCACTTGCATCCTCTGTTCCAAAATAGAAGCGGGACGCGATATCAGCGCGCGCAACTGGTCAGGATGAACGAGGCAAGGGCGCGGCAATAAGCACAAGTCAGAGAGATGCTGCCTTTTTTGTTTTCTCTTCTTTTCCTTTTGCCCTGCCTCATTCTGCCGTCTCTCGCCAGGTCCCTTTTCCTATGTGCCCACACACACCACCACACACACCACACGTCTCCTCCCATTCTAGACATTTGGCTTGCTGTGATACCCTTCTTGCCCAATATCAAACCGGCTAAACGCGACCACGTTGCTTGGTGGCATGCATCTCTGCTCCTGGCATCCGGTATCCAGCACTTTAACGCCCTCCTACTGGCCCGTTGGATCTTTTTTCCTTCTCCCCCCCTCTCTCCCTCTTCCAGCCCACACCCGAACACCGCCTCTCGTTGGTCCCAGCTACTCGGTGAAGTCGGAAGCAGGAACCTTCTATATCACCAGCCGCGTTATTCCATCAAAGATGAAGGTCCCGTCCTCCAGTGACGATCTATGCGCACCCCCTTCTCCTTGTGTCTTTCCATACTATACCACAATGTTGTCTCGGGATCTAGGCCTTTTTGCTCATCAACTTCATCGCTCCCCTCCCCAGCCTCTTCCCTTCCCTTCCCATCCCTCCAAACACCCCCTCTTCCTGTTATAGCTTGAATTAGATTCTTGCTTTCCCCGGCAAGTACCTTGCAATCTCCCTCATAGAGGACAAAAACTCTCCGAGTCCAATGGGATGATGTGAAAAAGGAAGGGAGGGGGAAAAAGGTCAAACGCGACATCATTCTTAATTGCGCCGTAGAAAAGCCATGGAACTCTTTCTCCCCGCGGCCCCGGTTCTCTCCCTCACCCTCCCTCTTCCTTGCTATTGTTGCATCCATTTCTTTTGGGAAGCTGGGAGCTGGAGGAGAGAGACCCGGCCCAATTATACGGGACGTAGCGGGCCAAAAAGTAGTCGCTCTCCCCCTTTGCCGACCGACTCCGCGGCTTGCACCTCGTCCCTCATGGGCGGCTTGTCTGCCCTGCGAAAAAGGTTGACTCGAAGAGGGAGAGATTCACGGAGTAAAGGTCGTGGATATGCCCCAGGCTTACACAGGAGTACTGCTCACTTTATCGTAATTATTGGAGCCCATTTCCTTACTCGTACGTCCCTTTCTTTATTCCCTTCCATGTTCTCTCTGCTCGCCCTTCGCCCTTTGGTTCTTCATCTACCGCGTGCCTGGGCCGGCTTTCCGACTTCGAAACGCGGCAGGACGTCACAATATATTGATATCAAGTACCCTGACAGGTCCTTTCTCTCTCCCCTTCTATTAATCAATCTCTCTCCCAATCCCCCACCACGTCACTTCCTGCCTTGGGTCGTGTCTTCTCGCTTGGGCTTGGGGTTATGGGTAGCTCTCAGTCACTCAAGCGCCTGACTCGGCCGTTACCGCAAGCGGAGACATGGACTTCCCGCTAGCCATTTTCCTTTCCTTTTTCTTTTTTCTCGTTTTTTCTTTTCCCGTCTCCTTTGCCGCCTTCCGCCGTCGTAACGTTGCTTGGGCCCGTTCTTCCCCTGATCCCGCGACTGTATGGAAGACTGCGAGAAGCCGGCCCCAAAACTGGTTCTCCTTCAATTTAATAGAGTCTCGGCCCCTCTTCCGTCGTGAATGCTGGTCTGCTCATTCTATCGTGAGCTGCCATGTCCCGCCACCGGCCGTTTGGATTTTTTCAGTTTTAGAATGGGGGATTATAGGAATTATGTGCATGTTATTCCAACGTGGTGCCTGTGTCTTCCTTGATTCTCGCAGATGGTGTTCTGGCAAGCGGAATATATCAAAATGTTGGTAGGCATCGAGATAGAGGCCAGACCGTCTCTCAAGTCCATCACGCCTTATATCGTCACCTTCCTTTTCCATATATGTACGGTCTTTATACAAGTATATCCTTCTATTCTTGCACACACACACTCTCTCTCTCTCCCTCTCTCTCTCTCTCTCTCTCTCTCTCTCTCTCTCTCTCTCTCTCTCTCTCTCTCTCATCACCTTTTTTAGCCTTCTCCACCCTTCTCTGCCGTCTTTATAATTCTTGGTCAACCTCGCCCTCGGGTGAATGATCCCCGGAGTGTGTGTTGTAAAATGGCAGTGGGGAAGAAAAGAAGTGGAGGAGCAAACAATGGATGTATATTAATTGTCCAAGCCAAACCCCAAAGCCTCGCTGGCCGCACATCTTCACGCGACGGGCCCTGAAGAGAACATGTATAGAGGGAAGTATAGAAGAAAAAAGGAGGGTGAGGGTGCGGATGGCGAACGCGATGTCGTGTCACCGTTGCCCTGGATATGGGTATGGATGCATATGATGGGGATTGAGTCGATGGGTTTTGGGCATCCCCATTTCCCGTCTTGGCCGCCCTCGCTCCACCATATGCATACGCTGTCGACCTATATATTATATAGACATACATTGGGAGGGAAACATTGTCTACATCAAGTTCCCCGTCTCCCGCCTATTCGGGTCATGTTGACCTTTTCCCAATCTTCGGAGACACGGAAGTGCAGAGAGTGCAGAGAGTGCAGAGAGTGCAGAGAGAAAAGACCAGGCTTCTCCAGCCCCCTCCCATTGAGATACCGAAATGACCCAACACAGGCAGAGCAAACGTCCATGGTGGCCACGACGCTTCTTCCCACAAGTCGACGTCTCTTTTGCCCATCCAAGTGTCCTGCACTACCCCGTGTGCTATCTACGCGCGATGCCCGTGAAGCCATCGAGTGCCGATACACCTGCCCCGTGGTGAAGCCGCGTAGAACGGATTCGCCGACTCGCTCAGTTAGCGAGAGCCTGGCAAACCCCCTGATGGGCGACTCGTGTAGTTCCGAGGGAAATTGCCCTACAATCAAAGGACCCTTCGAGGAAGCGAACTTCTTCAGAACCGGCTTATCCGCTGGCTCGGAAAAAAAGGTCCTGGAAAGTCTTGAGCATGTATTCTGGTACTCAAGAAGGAGAAGAGGACACGAGAACGCCCCAAAAGCCACCCTAGATAACTTGTCCCTTTGATAAACCATGAGAGATCATCCGCCCCCCAAGTACTGCTTGCCAAGGAAGACTCTCTCCACCCTCTCACACGCATCGTCTTGGGTCGCGAACAGCGATGTCCGGCGGAGAGGGTGGCCAGTAAGCGGCCTTGAAGAGGAAGGCAGATTAGGGAGTAACACAGCAGGCTTTCGGTCTTTCCTCCCCCCTCTTCCCCTCACGTTGTGCACGCATCTTCACTCTGGGACGACGGGCGGTGTATGCCGACGCTCTCGCTTGCTTCTCGTTAAAAAAACAAAACAAAAAAACTCGACAATCGAGCTTGTACTCTTCAGATGAAACGGGGTGCACCTTGGACAAGAAAGGCCGGGTGAGAGTGACAGAGTAAAAGTGGCAAATGAGATGGAGAAATGGAAACGACTTGCGAATCCTCTGGTGTGCGTATGTGCGTGTTTTGTAGTTGATTTTTCTTTTTCTTTTTTTTTTTTCTTTTCTGGACCATGAATGCAGTTTCCAAGGGATTTTGGAGGGCGGCTCTCTTGGGACGGGGTTCGATAGATCTATCTCGCGATTGCGTGCAGCATGCTTGTGACCGCTTCTTCTTCCTGCCGGCCCCGGTGGCCGGACACCAGTTTCTCTCTCGGGCCTGTAAATTACCAACGTGTTCAACCACTTCCATGGGATTTCCTTGTCTATCCGAAGGATCGACAAAGACGTCAAAGGGATCCATAATAGATAAAGAAAGAAAGAAAGAAAGAAAGAAAAGGAAAAACGCACTGAGCTGTGTAGGGAAGCTGCTCGGATACTTTTGCTCCTCGTTCTACCATCTCATTGCGTCGTTTCCAGCTCTCGGCTACCGACCTTCGTCCTACGTCCTTGGGCGCACCTCACGACAAACCTGACCACCGCCATCTCTCTCCCTCTCTCTCTCTTAGCATGATACCCACCGGATACCGCTACTTGTGTGCTCGAGCGATCACCTACATGGACGGATGATGGGTATCGTACTGGGAACTTGGTCGGTTAGGCCACGTATTAGTCCCTTTGTTGGACCGGACATCAACTCCTCCTCCCTATATCCTCCTTCCTTTTCTTTATCCTTGACTAGGACGCCCCATCTGCAACGTGTGATGGGCGTCTTGACAAGGCAGCCAAGGCCCCATCGCGAGAGACAAGGCTGTCGGTGCACAATGACCATCACGCCTTTCGCATCCTTCAGAAAATTCATGTATTTGCGTTATAACGGGATTCTAAAGAAAATGCAGATGGATGTAGGCATAAGAATGCCCAAGTTAGTGGCATGCTAGTGTATCATTTGGCAACGTTTGTTCTCCGAGTCGGCCACCGCAAGAACTCTAAACCTCCCTTGACCATTTCGATGCCATTGTAGAGTCCATGTCCCTTCGGTCGGTGTTCCTAAACAAAGAGAAGCAAAAAAAAAAAGAATTGGCGTATACACACAGTATTATACACTCGCCAGTTATTCAATCTCCAAGTCGCCCATGGCTCGACGGTTTTCCAAAAGAGGAACATTGAATCATTAGGGCTCCCCTTCCTCCCCGACTAAAGGCGGAGAAAACTCGAAAGGCATGTATGTGGCCCACCTAGAGCCGCCAACATCCTCAATGGGTCTCATGCCATGTTGAAGTCTGCCCTCGCCCATCGGTGGCGCGTCGTTGTTCTCCCTTCCTCCTCGCATGCATTTACAACCACAGCCCAGCTTCAAACCTCTCCGAGCCACCCTCCTGCTGTCAATATCCCTTCTTCATCTGCCACAGGGCCCCCTTGGCCCTCTCCTTGACGTCTAGCTCCGGATCATCCTCGTGAAGTGACTCTAGTTTCGCGAGGAAACCTAGCCGTTTCAGTTCCTGAGCTCTCTGATTGCAACCAGTCGCGTCATCTGCATCGTCCTGCCACGTCAGGTTGGTCACGAGCTGGCATAGCGCTGCCCGCACGTACTTCTCCTTGCTGTTGAAGTGTGCCCCTAGCTGCTTAAGCATGTTGGTTTGTGCGATAACGAGCTGCCGATGTCGCGGCACGCTGGCTGCAATATGCACGAGCACGTAGATGACAATCTCGATGAGCTTCGCTTGCGGATAAATCATCCGTGCTTCGCGCCCAGAGTTGCGTCGAGAAAACGGCCGTATTACCTTGGGCCGCAGCTTTGATTCGAGTATGGAAAAAGCCGGTCTTGCCCAAGCTCTGCAAAGAGGAAGTCCACCATCTCGGTCGTTTCTGAGGGACTGCTCTGGTCCAGCACTTCGTTGCGTGTGCCCGTGATGAGGTTACGTATTAGGTCTAAGCCCTGCTCTTGAATCGCAAGGTCATCGTTCCGCGCCTTCCTCACCGGATTGAGCTCCGACTCGCGGTATCGCGCAAGCCTATCTTCCATGATCCGCGTACGTCCCCGCCCCAGCTCCTGTGGGGCGCCGGTGCTCGACCCAAAGACGAACCCTTTCAGGTCATCTAGGTGTTGCATATCGACATCATCGTCTAGGTCGACGCCCTCCGAGCTGAATGAAGGACTATCAGTCGCCGCACGCGAGGAGACGAGTGCGTTGTCCTCCGTGTCGTCGCAAATGAGACGGCAAAGCAATCCCGGCGACAGCTCCTCGACTACCGCCTTCTTCAACGTTGGCCCGACCTCGAGGACAAGGTGCTTGAGTGCCCAGAGGGCATTAAGTCGTAGGGACGGGTTCGACGAGCGCGTATGCTCGCAGAGCACCGTCATCACCCCTTGGTCTATGAGCGCCTGCAAGATGGAAAGAGAACAAGATATTAGTGATACGTATCGGGGTGTGATGGAAGGGGGAAAAAAGAAAAAAGGAAAAGTGAGCATAGAGACTGTAACGGGGCTGTACTTACCTCCCGCATGGGGCTAACGTTTGTCACGAGGTTTACCATGACCGCCATCGCGGCAATCTGGACGTCTACAACGGGATGCTTGGTGTACTTGAGGATGGGCACAAAGACTTCATAGTCGACGAGTGCCGTTCGGAGAACACTGACAGATCTCGAGAGCATGCGCACGACATTGCACGCACCTATGAGCACGCTCGGAGGGTTTGTCCCATACTCCGGTTTCGCGGTGGTCTGAGCGTCCCCGGACTGCTGCTCGCCTTGGCGTCGGGGACGCTCCTTGACCGGCGAGGGTTTTCCCGGATACACCGAAAGCGACTCAACGACGTAGGGAACCGCGTCGAGCTCCATGAGCGCCCTTCTGTAATCCTCCTTGTCCAGAGACGCGGCGATCGCCCTAAGAGCGCTTTCGCGTAGCCTGATGCGGTGTTGTAGAAGAGGAAGTTCCCCGGCCGGACCGAGCTTGCAAGTGGGTGAGTACTCGTCCATATCCATTCCCGGCTCAGGGTTAGGAGACCACATTTTGGGCTGCGATGAGACGGCAGGTTTGTAGCTTTCCTGTAGTAGCTTCGATAGGACCTCTATAGCCTTGCAGTCGTAAGATGCTTGCTGGAGGACGTCGTGATCGACAATAAGCCTGGCGAGAAGGACTGGCGCCCGCTCGAGTATCTCCCACGTCTCCTTGGTAGCGCCATCGACGATGAACCTTGCGTCCGTGTTGCACGGTTTATCGAGGTGGTCTCGCATTAGCTGCAAGAGGTTCGGGATAATGATGGTAGCAATCATGGTTTCTCGCGCCGGTTTGGTGACGAAATCAGCCTTGACCAAGGGCGTCAATACGGCGATCGCGGTTAAGCGTACGAGATCATTGTTCGAGCGGGCCAGGTAGATTAGATACGGGATGAGGGGCTTTCCGGTAGGTCGCCATCGCCGCTCTGGGAGTCCGCACCCTGACCATACGATTCCGAGCGGATATGCTCGTGCACCGATGTTATGGATGTCGCTTTCCTTTCCTTTGGCTCGGCCGATTTGCGCCGCGCGCGTCGAGAGCCGCGTTGCGGCATTGGAGGAAGGAGGTAGTCCATGGCCCCCAGCGACTCTCCGTTCCCAGAAGTGGAAAGCCCGGCGACCTGCCATGCGGCCCTAACCGCCTGGGCGGGAATGAACTGGGCTACAGGGAGGACTGCGAGGATGGCGGGGGATGTGAGGAGCATGAAGGCACGGTATCTCGAGTCCCCGATGACGACGGCTATAGCGTTGAGAATGGGCGCTATCTTGGCTAGTCTTGGCGCAGGTACGGGAATACAATCGGCCGCGTCGCCCTGCTGACCCTTGTCGCTCCATTCAGCCCCGGGTATCACGAGTCCGTCAGAGATGATGAAGCCTGCAAGCCGGGTTGCGAGAGCGTCCAAAATCCCGTTGGCCTTGGATAGAGCTAGTTTGTGATTGACATCATGACAGAGTCGGCTAATGAGGTCCGCTGCCAAGGTAATCTGGGATTGCGTGAGGCTATCGTGGGGGGCCGCGAGTAATATGGATTGTAGAGAATGTATGTGGGCGGGTATAAAGAGGCTGTCGGCGAGGATCTGGAGATCGCATGGCGAACCGGCTGGGGCCACGGCGGCGGCATCGGCTAGGATGGTCAGGGCACGAAGAGAGGCGTACACGACGTGAGGCGAGTTGTTGAGGGGCGATAAAGTTGCAAGGATAGCCGAGATGGACCCGGTGGCGTGCAGAGGTGGGAGGAAGGGTGAGCCGCCTGCGTTGTAGCCGAGTTTAGTAGAGTGAAGCCTGTGTGCACGCTCGGAGGGGGTGACCCGAGCCAAGCCCTGTATTGGATGACGACCTACCACTAGCGATCGTTGATAACGCCTGGACTGCCTGGAGCCGGACCGCCTCCTCCTCGGTCGGCGTCCTCGTGGGGGCAGCGTTGAAGCGCGAGTCCTTCCCGTTGAGCTTGCTTGACGAGCTTGACGCCGAGAGCATGCGCACAATGGGCTCCAGAACGCCTGCTGCTACCAACGCCTCCTTCTTTTGCGTGTGTCCGACGATTTCATTCTTAAGCGACCGTAACGCGGCTGCTTGCTCGGAATAGCTAGACGCCGAGCGCAGCTGCGCCAGAAGCATCGACGTCTCGTGATCACCCATGGGTGATGTGTGCTTGAAAGTATCGGTATGGACGGTGGATGGATCCGCTACCTGTTCTCAGAAAAAACAAGAAACCACTTGAGCATGCAAGATGGCACGCTGACACGGGATACGGTCGGTCGCTAAGGTGGCGGGTCTCCGGGTGCGTGATAAATGCGTTGTCTCTGCAGTTTGGTCGTGTAATAGTGCCCTTTCTGATTGCCCGATGACGTGATGGAGCTGTCGCGACTCTAATACTCCGCCCGACTCTTGTTATAGGAGGGACTAGGATTTGATTATGATGTATTATCTTGGATTGACGAGGAACCCCCAATGAGAAGGGGAATGAAGGAAAAAAACCAAGTTCGTCGATGTTCGAGGTCCGGAAATTTTTGATGAGGGGGATGCGCGGATCGAGGAGAATCTGGGGTCCCGGAAGGTGGCAAGCCAGGTAGAGCTTGATGCGGCGCAATAAAGCACGAGCCGCCGTTCTCGTTACAGCTGGCGGTACCAGATGTTAACAATCAAGGACGTCAAAAAGCGGATGAATTTGTCGAGAGAAGGTATCCGACCGGGCGAAAGGGACCATTCGGAGAGGGTTTCTTCTTTCAGCAGAAGGCAGGAAATCAAAAACCCTCGGGACCAAAAGGACTATGCCGTTATCGCAGGTTGGAAGGAGGGTGAGCGAGCCTGACCAGCCAATGCAAGGCTGCAGTGGCTGAACGGAACCAAATAAAGTTACTTGAAGGATTGATGGATTATTCTACACTACACGGGCTGTTCCTCCACCATCATCAGCTAGAGCCCCTCCTCGCCCCCATCAATGAATTGATCCGAGCCACAGTAGAGGCGTCCGGAGTGCGATCCCTCTAGAGATCTGGGGGATGGAGGCACTATACTAGTGTACCGAGGTAGTGCAAATTCAATAAATTTCGTGTCTGCCAAGCTCAGTGCTATGACTCGAATACATTTTTGTAGCGTGGGCAACACGTCCAATCGAAGTACTGTTGACCTTGAAAAGAGCGCACGTGGACTCTGGTTGACTGGCCTATGGAGAATTTTCGCAGCTTCGGGCGGCGATTTATGCCACTGGTCGCTGGCGGTTGACTGTTGATCCTGATGCCGCTTCAGTGCTTAGGATCTTGTTGAAGCGCTGAGAACTTCTGTAGTCCGGCTAATCCCCCGTTTAGCGGCCAGGCATGCAAAATAGATCCATTGGTTCCAAGGTTCAATCTGGTCGATTTGATCAACTTCAGGCCCAGCCGGACATCGGGAAGGTCTTTATGCAGTGAAAGGGGCTCATTTTCCTTATTCTTCCTTTTTTCTTTTTTCTTTTTCATTTTTTTCTTCTCTTTCTTTTTTCCACCCCTTCTCTTTCCTTGAAAATGTTTTCTGGGCGGAGCTGGCACGAGGCAGTCTTTATGTTCCCTGCCGCACGCACGTCCTGCATCTACGCTTGAGCTGCTGCAAAGTCAATGTTCCCCGTGGCCACACCCAATAAGTCGACCGGCTGAACTTGGGCGGCTTCGACTTGCCCTTTCACTTGACCAACGGGATGACTAAACAGACCCACCATATCTCAATCCCTTGGTGATCGTTGGCCGTTCGTTTGGCAGATGAGCGAATCAGAGTCCACGCTCCGTTAAAATTGGCAGTACGTACCTCGCGTCGATTGTACATGCCGTTTTTCGTTGATCCCGTTCTTTTTTCTTCGATGGGGTCTGCTCGGTGAGCGTTCTGGTCAAGGGCCTTGTCTAACCTCCTCCGCGCATCCAATCCCCCAGGATCTACCCCGTTGCAAAAGCGCCCTTCTGCCGGGATAGTGCAACCATTGTGCGGAGACATCTCGAGCTCACTTTTTCCTTTTTCGGCTCTCCTCGTGGCCTTCATATGCCGTGGTAGCGTCCTCCACGCAGACTGCTATGGGCTCCTCCATCGGCACCCGATATTTCTCTCTTCCACGGCTTGGTCCATCCCCCACCTTTGACAGGCCATCTCTCGCAACTACCCACACTTTCACATATTCGGCGCCAAGCGATGCCTTTCCAACACCATGTTGACAACCTCACCCGTGATAACTAGTCCTAATCCCACCAAGAATGTTTCTCCTCGATCATTTCACTACGTCCCTGCTAGAACGCCACAAGGGTCGCCTCCACTCCCCTCCTCGTCACGCACCAGTCGCCAAAGTTCCACCATATCGCAGTCTCCTAAATCGACAACTACCTCCCTGACGGCCAGGACCACCTCGGCCCTGATGTCGTCCCCTTCTAACATAGCACGGGCTCCCGCCCCCAAGAGAACGCCGGCGTCGACTCACCCTCAGGGGTTGCGCCGCCGATGCGAAACTCCTCGACTCAACCCACCGATTCGAACGACCCCCAGCTTGTTGCGGTCCATAGACCACCCAATAACACTAACTCGCAGTCGAGTACCGCGACGCCGCCCAAAAAGCCGCCGTCCTCTAAACGGCGACCTAACTCTCCTGAACCGCCGCAGGCGCGCCCCCAGAGGACTCTTCGCGGGCCCCGCAAGCCACCAACCCCCAAGACCAGGCGAGGCCAGCCCAGCGGCATAGAACGTTGCCGGCCGACCCGAAAGCGCTTCCGTTAGCATACGAGCACTGCGCCGTGAGCGACATGGTTGTGCTCATAGCCCACATGTTGTCGGAGCTGATAGAGACCAACGATGGCCTGGCCCTGCGCTCCGGTAGCTTAACTCGTTTTCATTCGAGGTATGTAGCGACGCCCCTGTACTGTCACTTCTGACCGGGAGCTTCTTGGAATTCTAACCTGATGATAAACTAGACTGCGCCAGGCATATCTGTTTTAGATTATCTTAATCGACTTGCGCACCATGCGACCTTGTCGCCACCATTGCTGCTATCCATGGTTTACTATATTGACCGCCTCTGTGCGCTCTATCCCGAATTTACCATCAATACCTTGACCGTCCACCGCTTTCTCATCACTGCAGCCACTGTTGCGGCCAAGGGTCTCTCAGACTCCTTTTGGAACAACGCTACCTACGCAAAGGTTGGCGGGGTCCGCGTTGCTGAGCTTAAGCTTCTCGAGCTCGAGTTTCTCTACCGGGTCGACTGGAGGATCGTTCCTAACCCGGATGTACTTGTCGCGTACTACAAAGGCTTGGTCGAGCGCTGCCCTGGCTACGCGCTAGAGTCTTCCACCGTGAACTCGCCCTTAGAGAACAACTGTCCAGACAGTCTTGCTACGGTGGCCGCCAACGGTGAAGCCTCCAACGCCCCTGCGGAATCTCCCAAGGGCCAAAACGGAGATAGCTGAGCGTTCCTACAGCTGGGCTGCTCGAGCCGATGAGCTTGTGAGGGTTGATCTCATTCTTCTTCTTCTTCTATCACATCATTTTTATGGCATATCTTCCGGCCTTTTGAACGCTTTATGCAGCTTTAAAGGGGAGAGAAAAAAGCGCCGAAGACTATTAATTCTGAAAAAAAGGGGGGCGCAAGCGAGAGCATAGAAGAGGTTGAGGTCAGTGAAAAGGCGACCAAGGCAAGCAATACCCTCGCTTTCGGGCCGGGTTGTTCGCCACGTTGATTGCTTGTTTCTGAAGGCATAATACTGAGGTAGTATTGGGGCGTTAGATTTAATGGAGTTACGAGGCAACGGTTCGCATGGGATGGTAAATCACGCTATTACCACACGCAAACACATACAAACATACACACACACATATATATCTCTCTCTTTTCTCTCCTTTCTCTCCTTTCTCTCTTTTCTCTCTTTACGTCCAGGGGTTTGACTGAAGAGAAAGCGAACGTTATAGAAGCATAGGAATGCCTGGCAACTTCCAAGTCGTTGCGGGGATGCACCGCCAGCCAAAGGTAGTCTATAATACTGCCTTGTTCTTGTTTGTCTCCCGGACCTAGTCATGATGATGCCGGCGGACAGGCGCGGAATTCATCAACAGCGTTTAATACTACTACTTGATAAAAATCTCGGCAAGTTTGTGAACAATTTGGTGGTTTTGTGTCTCAGGCTTCCCTTTGCTGGGAATCGCCGCTCCCAGAGCCCAGGAATACTCGGTTTCACCGATTCTCGTCACGGGTTTCCGGTCATGTTCCAAGCTGTCTAGATATCAAGGTAAAAGCGATCGATAGTGTTGGTACAAGTGTATTTGTGCTGATGAGTAGATGCCAACTCGCTATATATTAACTCTATTTTCCATCTCCTCCGCCGCTCATCAGCATGAGTGCGCCTGCCGCTATTACCCACCAGTACCTGCGAGGAAAGTTGGTTAGACTTTAATTCTGAACATGAAGAAAAAGACCGAGGAATGAAAGAGGGCTTAAACGGGAGCTTACTTTTGCAAGAAGGTCTTCTCTTCCTCAACTACCTTCCTACCCTCCGGCGAGAGTACTACAGGCTTGTTGAGCTCGGGCTGGGCCCCTTTTAGCTACCGAAACGACAACCTTGGGACCAAAGTCCCTCGTCTGTCCCGCATCGATGAGTACACCCTTGAAGGCTACGCCGATGGCGCGGCCTGCCTGGTCGACGGAGAGGAGGAGGGTCGGCGCGTAACCTTTGCTAAAGTTATCGACTGAAGCGAGGAAGAGGATGTCCAGGCCTGAGCGGCGCTGTCGTAAAGGCCGACGCGAACGTTTTCCGCGTCTTCTGGGATCTCGGGAAACTCGTAATTCACAACCTCCGAGACAGAGGTATCCGCCAAGTGATATTGGACATCGGCGAGAAAAGTGGGTGCTTGGTTCTCGGACGAGGCTGTGATGGGTTGGATGTAGACCTTGGCGAGCTCGGCGCTGGCGAGGGTCGCCGCGCAAAGCGCGGAGAAGAGAGCGTAAACCCTCATATTTTGGCGGGCGAGGCAGAGGAGAGAAATATCCTGGTTTTTTCTCGCTTTGGCCGGGGTCGCGGGTTACGGTGGAGGAAGGGCGTGGTCGGAGGGAGGAGATTTGGGAAGCCCTTGTTTCGATGCGACTTCCCGAAATCTGGAACGTGGGAAGCTGTTCTGATAATTGGTGATGATGGGTCCGGAGAATATTCGGTTAATATTCTGGAAGCTCGCTCTTCAGAGGGGAGAGGCAGGTTGGATCGAGGTTAGCGCCGTTGCCCAGAGGGACCGCCTGCCTGGCTGCTCAAAATCGCTGTTTTAGAGTTTTGGAGGGGGCGCCTGCCAGTGGTCGACAGTAACACGCGCTAAGAGGAAAGAGAGAGGCCCCTACTCTTGTCCCGCTCTCCTCACCCCTCCACCCGCCGCCACCCTCTCTCCCCTCGCAAGCCTCTTTGGTACAAAACGTTGACCGGCAGTCGAGGATCTGCTTTTATCTCTTTTCCCGACTTCTCATCCTCTTCCCCTCCCTCTACTGCTGCCAATTACCCAAACTTGACCACAATTCTTCATCTTTGCTTGCAGCCCCCCATCAAATCTGTAGCCACAATGACCAACGGTGCGACCCTCCCCACGACCCCGCCCACGACGGCGAAGAGGTCAAGGGTAAGGGCAAGGCCATTGCCCAGAATCCGCCGACGCGGCCATGGACGAGGACGATGATGATGACGAGGAGGAGGAGGACGTGAGTTTTCTTGCACCGTCTCTCTCGAGGTTTTGTGCGCATGCTAACGAATCTTGCTACTAATTAGGCTGGCGATGCTGGTAAGTTGCACACGCGCCCCGCCCCGCACCGCGACCGGTTTTTTTCTTTTGCCTTTCCCACTCGCTCCGTGCTGAGCCGTGAACGCGACCTTCTAACCTGGTATTCTCAATGCAGAAGAAGAAGAGGAAGAAGAAGAAGAAGACGACTTTGAGGCCATCAACACCAACAACATCATCAACTCTGGTCGCCGAACCCGCGGTCGCGTCATTGACTTTGCCAAGGCTGCGCAGGAGAACCCCCGATGATGATGACGATGACGAGGAGGATGATGACTTCCAGGCTCCTGATGAGGACGTCAAGATGGAGGGTTAAGGCTGGATATCAACCTCGCGCCATTCGCGCTTTGCCTCGCCCTCTTACACAACTCATGACTAAAACGGAGCAGCCGCGATTCTCAAGAAGGGATGGACGGTGCCAGGGTGGATTTATACGACATGGACAGTGTGGGTTTGAAGCGTCGTTAATGACAGTGACGTAAAATAAACAAAACTAGAACGAGTCTATGAAAGAATAAACCAAAACCGAAGTCTATATGGCCCGGGATTTTTGCCAGTCTTTCTCGCCATGTCTGGGCTCGGTCGTGAGGAGAGGGAAAAAACCAACGTGCATTTTGTGTTAGACTTGGCCTCCCCTCACTCGAGTATGCGGTGTCCTGCTCCGCACCGGTCTCGTAGCTTGATTGCTGTGCGACCCAACTCCTGTGCTAGGAAATGTATTGCATCGCCGTTTGGTGTATTTCTTAGCGCTAGTAGGTAGTGAAGTTCAACCTAGGATATATAAGGTGTGTTTTTCTGGAGGGAAAATTCTCGTGCATCGTGTACCTTTCAACACCAGCGCTTCGCGGTCCCCAACAGCTCGGCCCGGCCTTGACTACGACAGATCAAGGGGCGCACAAGTCAAGTTAACGAGGATTTATGGGTTGAAATGAAAACGGAGTATCACGTTCTATATTTCAGAGATTGACACGCTTTGCAATCCATCTTTCGCGACACAGATTCTACATGCCATCATGAGAGCGCCTCCATTGTTGAGAGGAGGCTTACATAGATGGCCCTCTTTGGCCCCATATATGTACGTCTTGTGCATACTTGCCGTAGAGCTCTGCCACTGGCTAGATGTCGCCGGATCAATCAAATCATCCAATTCCACGGTGTGGCGGGCTGCGATTGCATGTTCACACAGTCATGGCCAAGTCTACCGCAGTTGGCGTGACTGAATTGAACAGTGCCATCGAGTGACGATGTTGGGTGCAGTCCCAATCCTGACAGGCCCCTCAAGTGCTGACAACGCAGCACAGGGAAGTTGACGGAACTGGTCAGAGCACGAGGTCCTTAATCTTGAGGCCACTGAAACCTCAAGTTGAAGAATCGAATCGGCGTGCGGTTTTGCTGACTGAGCAGGCGACTTGGGTTGGGGACACCATGTTTGGGCCAAAATTGATGCGCATTCCACTGTAACACTGCAACAAGTTGGCAGATTGATTGCGGATGCTGGTCCTCATTAGCCCCAACGTTAACTCCGGCTCGTTCGAAGCAATCGAAGCTAAGAGGCCAACCAGATCGTCTAGGCCCCTATTCGGTGCACCGTGCCAGCCACTAACGAGCCGTCTTCTGGTCATACCCCCTGCAAGCTCATAACACCCTGGCTTGAATCTTCTCTTCCCTTCGTCACTGGCGTCCCTTTTTTGAAGATTTTCGAATTTTCGATGGACCGTCGAATGCACCCTACCATATCCTTCTCCTTTTCGTGAAAATTTTCCTTCTCTTCCTCTCAACTCACCTCGTCTTTCCACCCGTAACGACCAAAACTCCTGGCACGCGACACGGGCGAACAAACTCGGCGAAAGAAAACCATGGCTTCTCGGTATGTGGCGCAAACTTCTTTTTCCCTTTCTTCCCCATGTCTGCCCGAAAACACATCTCCTCTTGCCCCTCCCTCCCGGAAGATCATTAGCAGCACGCGAGCACAAGATCGCTTAGCAACCCCCAAACCGATCCGACTCGCTCCCGAATGCTTCAGTTCCCTAATTCCCTTGCGGCGTCACGATGCCACCCGCCGTGTGTCGCAAGTAGTCCTTGTTCTTCGGGGCAGGAGAGGAACCTAGAGAGTATGACGCAACTTGACTAACTCCTCGTGCGCTTTCCCCCACAGGTTCGGATCGAATCTCCACCAGCGCGACCCGCGTAGCGCTCTCTTCGCGGGCTACGATAATGGCGAAGCGTCTAGGCGCCCTGTGAGCGCGAGTCCGAATCGATACGGTGGCTACGGGTATCCCGGAGGCGCCTCGGCGACTGGTGGCAACAGCCATCTCGGTGTATCTAACACCCAATATAGGCCAGCAACGCCAAACAAGAAGTAAGATTTGCATATCCTCTTTCTTTTTTGTCCTTCTCTCCCTACCTCTCTACTCCATTTCCTTTGAAAGCAAAGACTAGGTACCCGAGGTTGTGCATTCAAATGGTCCGAGATGGTGATATTAACTGTGATCGAAACTTAGGGGCCATTATAGCGATGCCGTTCTCAACGAACTCGAGAGCCAAAACGATCAGCAGGTAGAAGGTATCCTTGGCAAGGTCAGGGTCCTCAAGGATGTACGTGCAAATCAAGGTTTCCCTGCCCTCTCCTAGCACCTAGTTGCTGCTTCGTGACCGTTGTCTTGCTCCCTGGTCTAACTATTTCTTCCCTTTGGTAGATGACCGTGGCGATCGGCGATGAGATCCGCGAATCCTCGGCGCTTGCGGAAAAGATGAACGAAGGCTTCGATAACACCCGAGTCCGCCTCCGAGGCACCATGAACCGCATGCTAGTCATGGCCGAACGTACTGGCGTGCCTTGGAAGGTGTGGCTTGCCTTCTTCGCCGCTGTCATCTTTGTCTTCATGTACGTCTGGCTGTTCTGAGGAGATGAATAGCCACCTACGCGACGACGTCACGAGCTTCACCGACTGCGCGAGCCCGCTACGCATTCCTCACCCCGCCGAGTGGTGTGCCCTCAGGCGTTTCCTGCTACGCTTGATTAGACCGCCGCACTAACCAAAAGGAAACTGGAGCGCTTTACGCAGATATCACGGGCGCACATGGTTGGGCGGATGAGGAAAATGGTCGATGAGAGGGGTATGCTTGGATACGGTTCATATTGCTGCCGGGTCTGGCGCGAAAGAATCGTGTGGGCAGGGAATCCCTCCCCCGTTTCTCCATCTGCATTTACGTTTTGGCGGTGTCATTCTTCTTTTCCCGATTTTTTTACCCTATTTACTAGACGCTAGGGAACAGATCCGCATTGGTGTGTAAAGGGCATCAAAGACTGGCGTTCTGGCGATTGCTCTGGAAGCAAGACAAACAAAAACGAAAACATGATTGGGAGGGCAAGGCTTCTAGGAAGTGAAACGACTCAACCTCCAAGGCGGTTTGGTTGCTCGCGGATGGTTACCGGGAGCTTGTCTTTTGACATAATATCTTCTTTTTCATCTTATTAACGTTAATATGATATATAGCGCTTCTTGTAATACATTTATTTTTCACCTCCTTGTTTAAACTTTGGACTCATACGGAAGGATGCAACTTCTGTACAACAACTGCGGTCTGCCATTCTAACAAGCTACCGTTGGGTATTTACATAGAATAGGGCTTCGTCGTACTGGGTGGGGGACAGAGAAAGCTGTGCTGCATCAGAGAGCTGCATCAGCCCTGTACGCTTGCTTACCTGCCCAGGCCGCTCCAGGTTTCTATAGCGATGTCTGGTTTGTCCTGTCTACTCCGTTGATCAGAAGAGATGGCATCGCGGCAGGTCCGGGGTGTAAATACGATTCGCTAGGGGTTGACACCATGGGTTGGACAATTTCCGATATCGTAGCCTGCGGTTTGTGTTGAACGTAAGCGTAGTCTCCTGGCTTGTTTCCTCCGTAGCGACGTGCGGTAGCATTGTTTAACAATGACGTCCCGGTTTCAGAGAGATGGTATTTCATAATTGCTTTAGGTATCGTACATATATAAAGTTTGGGAAAAAAGAAACGCTCTCCCCTATCCCAACACCGAGCCCGATTTCAAACGCCGACATGACCCGAATCTATCCATCCCGCGCTACATCCTTCTCCCGGATCCGTTTTTTAATGCTTGCATCTTGTCCGCTTCCGTCTTTCGCTCTTTGCCGTTACGTTTTCAAGGGCGACGGCCACCTCGCATCGCAGGGCTGCTATCCATAAAACTGCTCTCGTGAGAAAGAATGCTGTTGAGACCCATACTCGCGCGGGGTTCCTCCCGGGGACGGGCGCGGAGTGTTGGGCTCTGCGGCGGGGCCAGGGTCGTCGTTTGGTGGGCGATCCTCATCTCGGAGTAATCCTCCTCACTACTCGTCAGCTCGGCGTCAGAGTCGGTGTGCTCGTAGCCGCTGAATTCCATTTCGGGAATCTCCTCGTCCAGGTCAGCGTCGAGATTCATATCCTCGCCCCCTTCGACCAGGCTATCGGCCAGGAAATCCTCCTCGTCGAGCATGTGGTTGTTGAGCCCCTCGTGGAGGTCGTCGTCGGGCCCGTACACGTCCTCGGCGGGGTCGGCGTGGCCTCTGGCGAGCGCCTCCCGGAACGCGTCTGCCGTTCGACGCATACCCGCCGTGAGGAGGTCGTTTTGCGCCTGCTCCCTCCGCACGTCCTCATCCTCCGCCTCGGAGCCGTCCTCATCCGGCACCGTGGAAGAGCCGGCATCGCTGTCCGAGCCAAAGCCTAGGCTCATGCCGTCAGCCTCGGGGATCTCGTCGTCCAGGTCGGGCGCTTCATCGAGCTGCGCCTCCTCGGCCGCGCCGTCCTCGTCGTCCAGAAGCTCCTCTTGGCCGGCGGCCTCGGCCTCGGCGAGCTCCTGCGCCAGCGCCTCCCGCCTCAGCGCCTCCTGGTGTTCTTCCTGCTCGCGCCTCTCCTCCCGCATCTGGTGCAGCGTCTTGGCGACCCCGGCGGGCTTCAGCCACCCGCTGCCAAAGTTTTGCACGTTGATCCGCCGCCGCTCCATGTACTGCTCGTCGGCGCGCAGACGAGCCAGCTGCGATCTCTCGACGGCCAGGTGGTGGTGGTACTGTTGGTGCTGCTGCTGCTGGAGGCCGGCAGCGCGGCGATGGTTCGGGTCTTGAGGGTTGGCGCCATTGGGGCCGGCCGCGCCGTCCGGGATGGGAGGGGCAGTTGAGGAGGCTGTCTTGAAGATGTGTACCAGAGGGAGTGGGGCTAATCCCTTGGGGTCAGGAACCCCCGTGCAACCAAAGCCCGCGTGCAAGATGGCACGCATGGGCGGTGAGGAAAGGATGGGAAACTTACATCTCGGGGTGTAAAGTCGGGCAAAAAGACATCATTTTCAATATTAGCTACGCTAGAGCATGCGGGATCGTTTCAAGGGCACCAGCGCAAAACTTGGAAAGTAAATAAAAAGATATCCGCGGGGCGGAGGAGGTTGACGCGACTGCCATTTCGGGAAGCTAACTATGTAATACGGCTAATATCTGGAATAATTCTGATGCCAACCTGCAGACTGCCTGTGCTGTGTCTTCGTTGCATGTGAAAGGGTACAGACTAATATAATGAGTGGTGGTGCTTTTCTCATGAATGGAAAAAATAGAAGAAAGGAAACACGAAGAGAAAGGGAAAACTACTATGGTGGTAGGGATTTTCTTCGTCAATGTCTTCTAAAGCGACTACATGTAATTCTAGAAGGACCCGGATTCCCCATCACGGAATGGAACCAGAACTTCGGGTGCGGAGAAGTAGACTAGTCAATGAACCTCTGTTGACACGCACTGAAGTGTTTGGTGTTTCCCTTCAGGACGTTTTGGAGGGCGGGTGTGCATGTGAAGATTGGGGCCGGGTGGATAGAGCAAATCATCACGAGGAGCTTTGAAATCAACGGCGGCTCAAAAAGAAAGCCGAAATTTCGCATTCCACTCATTTTCGGTTTGGTGAGAGGAATTTGCCCTACTTTAGATTATCTAATGAATCATCTCTCCAGTTTCGATTTATCAATGGGTTCCAGTAATGATTTTCACCGTCCGCCTTGGTCGGCTCAGGCTTGGCTATCTGTGAGTCTCGGGAGTATTCGGAACGCTCGCCGCAAGGTCACACCGGCCCTGCCCTGCCTCCCAAAGAGCGTCGGCCTGGTCAACCCGGCGGCAGATCACTTCTCTATGAAAGGGAAAAAAATACAAGTAGAGAATGCCAGTTGGCGCCCCTCTTCACCCAAAATGACTCGCTTGCGCTTGCGCCCGATCTCGGTGGCCCCTGGCCTACTAGCCTACGACGAAAAGCATCCGGACGGTTCACGTCCAAAACAAGGGATTGCGGCCATGGGGCCATGAGAGCTTTTAGCGCGAGCCCTGAATGTCGTTTCGAAATACACCGCCGCGTATTGGTCGCTAAACGTGGGGGCGGATCAACGATGTAGCCTAGGAGGGGAAGGGGAAGGCCGAGGAGAAAGCCCAGTCCACATAATAATCATAATCTAGATTGGCGGAATACTCACCAATGGGTCAGTCATTCGAGGGTTGAACGCCAAAAGGCATGACGAGACGTGGGGAGATAAGGGACTGAGCCGAAGCACCTTACATCAGAATTGAATTTCCCTTATTGGCACTGGCTGCATAATAGACTTGGAAGGCTGGGAAATGGGTTCAACAGGCTGATAGCACTTCAAGCTGTGAGATATTTACACCAAAGGCAAAGCCTCCCTCAAGTCAAGCCGATGACATCTTTTGCACGAGACCCCCTCGCCGATCTACGGCTCTGGGCAACCCCGCGAACCGGGATAATGTTCAATTTCTTTTTTTTTCTTCCCACCCTCCAAACGAAACGGCCGTGCTTCATCATTGCATACTCGAGGCTCAAGGGAGGGGGGACCAGAAGGATTGATGGGTGCTATGTTGTATGGTGGGGTTGAGATAAGAGATACGGAGGGCGAATTCTTGCATGTGATTGGCCTGTGCTCCAAACTTTCTGTTTGTCGATTTTTGCGAGGGTGCGTGTAATTGAAAGCGCCGTGATAGGAAAGAAGCCTTCGAGTCCAGAAGCCATTATTAGGCCACCGGAGTGTAGTGGCTCGGTTACGGGGAGGGGCTCTTTGGAACGGTCTCTGCCATCAAAGTACCGGTACATTCTCACACTCAGAGTGCTCAACTTCTCCCTTTTGCTTCAACTTGCCTGCTCTCAATGGGCCCTGGTGAACTGTTCGCCGTTCTCGCATGCCTCTTACCTCCGCTGCGCACATATCCATCTATGGATGGATCCATTGGATCCATTGTTCCCACACCTCTTGTGCCAAGCAGTTGGACTCTTTTTTTCTTTCTTTTTTTCTTTCTTTTTCTCGCGCTGCGAACAATTGGCGGATCTCGATCCCGTGCCACCTCTTGTTCGGCGCATCGCGTCAAGGCTGCAGCACCCTGGAGCCGGTGCATGAGCACTCCCGTGCCCTCAGCGGTGGGAATGCAAGGGTCCGGATCATTGAAGGACTCTTTGTTCTCTTTATTGGCCAAGGCCTCTTTGCTTTCTTCATCTCAACAAAATCTTGTTTTATTTATTCTGCTGTGTCCGCCTTTTCCTTCGTGCCTTCTAAACATCTAAAGGCGAGTATATTGATATAATGCCAGCTTGGCGGGACCATGTGGCAGTCGCTGTTGCCACATAAGAAAGGGGTCCCCCAAAGATTACTTGGGTATAATAGATGCCGAGGCGGGAGTTCTGGACTCAATGGTATCTCCACGAGATCAATGTGGGTGCTGGCAACGACTACTAGCGGTCCATCGATCCATTTGATCAATTGCAAGCTGAAGCACTGGTGGGGCATGATTGTAATGGGAAAGCCCGCATTCCAGGGTGTAACCACTGGATTGTGTAACTAATTGAGACAGTTCAAATTCCTCTCTGAAGCCGGCACCGGGGGAGCGGGATTTCACAAGGGCCGTTTGCCGCGCAGTATGCCAGTGCCCGTTAGGTAGATTTTCCGCAGCATCGGCATCACCATTTATTGGGATCTCTGTGCTGGTGGGTTTGGGCAACCAACCATTCACCGAATAAGACGATGAATAAAACTCGTTGCGTCAGGTGCTCCTCTGGTGACATGTAGTGACAGCTCTACCGCCTAGGGACTGAGAAGAAACCCCGTTTCACTTGTTGAGATGCCTGCGCCTCGATGGATATAAGGTCTCAAAGCTTTATGTGGGTTCTTCAACCCTCCCACCTCAACGAGCAGCAAGATCAAACGAGGGGTGGACTGAGTACGTCGGGTTAATGGTGGAAAGAGCTCCAGCGGGTTCAATGAAACAACGAGCAAGATCACTAGCTGCTAGACAGGCCTACAACCCCTATTGTGGGTTGACCGATCAAATTGCTGATGGTCCTTGGATGGATCAATTGATGGAATGGATATCTCTGCCTACGGGGCTCCATCAAACGATTCCTCTCTTGATTCATTGATTTTCACTAGACTGGATGGATAGTGGAATGGGTCCGGGTCTATAATGGTTTAAGCCGATTCTAACAAATTTGATGCATCTCTAGAGCCAATTCAGCACACCAAACCTACCAATTCCATTCAATCAATGCCTCAGCGCGCAAAGGGCAACCAGAACGGATGACTGGACACGCTAGCTTGGACAATCAGCAGATGTTATTGAGTCTTGCCACCCTTTACCCCTCCAGAGTCTCCGCTTGTCAAAGGTCCGTCTTCGTTGTCAGCCTCTATTCTTCGGAGAGTCTGACCTCGGCCTCAAAGGCTATCTGTTTCCTCACATCACCAAAGGCTTCGCTCGTACCTGCAAGGCGGTGGATGGCTGTTGCTGTTGAATAACGAGTCCGCCTAGCCAAGTGATCTAATACTTGTATCAGTGCAATCGCGGGGTGTACGACTCAACGATTAAAAAGTGATAACCTCACGCCACGGCAAGGGATCAAATTTGCCTCTGGGGCTCTTCAGACTCGGCAAAGATGTGTCAGAAGTACGGTGAGGAAAGACGCTTGCGGACATGAGCAACGAGGATCCTCGTGACATGTACGGCAGGCCGGCCCTGCCCGTGGGCATGTGGGCATGTGGGCATCAATGCTTGAAAAGAGCAGCACCTTGGCTTGGTTGCTCCTGTATTTTTTTCGTTCCTTTTCATTTTTGGAAGGGGGTTTTCACCCTTCCTTCCTCTTTCTGTAACTAGTATTACTCATTTCCTTCGTTCGGAGGAAATCGCTAGGTAATTCAAGCGACGTGATTGGAGCGCTGGTCTGTCCGGGGTGTAATTCCAAGCTGGTTCCTTTTGGGGAAGTGACGTCGGAGCATCGGTTTTCATTCGCCACAGCCATCCACGCCAAGTCCGGAAACAAGCAGCTTCTCGCACCCTCCATCCTCGATACAACCATGACTTGTGGCCAATCCGTATCTACTGCACCCCCACAAAACCTCGGTAGTAGCGCAGGGCAATCGCGGTACGCCGCACCCGCAGCCTCAAGTTTGCTGCGATAAGGCCTTTCTGGGTTATCCGCCAAACCGGGGTCCTGCAAGTCGCCAACCCGCGCAAGAAGGAAGGACACATTGAGATTGAAGCCGGCCGCTTGGCACACCGAACCGGAGGGGTCCTCCAAGTTACACCCTACAGGTTATCTCAGTGGCACGCAATTTCCCTTGGGCCAGGCCCCCATTCTCGGTTGCCGTGTCTCCATTGCGCCGCTGGGAGACTGCTCTCTGCTAATCTTTCTACTCTAGCTTGAGGCCCGTTGTGTAATGATGTACCTCCGTACTCGCCCGCGGAATCAAAAACGTTGCCTCAGAGCTGATTAGCCTCTCACATGTATCGATACCTGTCTCGAAACCAGACTAGCCTCAAGGTACATTTCGTAGTCTCCCCTCAATCTTTTTCGAGGCAGATCATGGCAGCCAGACGGATGGGTGTTCTGCAAACCTACCCTCACTTGACGGAGGTTGGTCGGGACAAGTAGGCAATATCCCCACACCCCATCCACCCTTGAAGCAATGGCATGGGGATGGCGTTGTGTCTATGTTCCACCTTGCCGCGGTGTGTGTGTGTGGTGTGTGTGGTGGGCAGCAGTCGACAAAATAAAAGGTTCCTGCGTCCTCAACTATCTGATCAGTGAAGCTTCCTCGAACCCTTTCCCTTGGATTTTCTTTTTCCCTTCCTTTCGGACTCCCTCCCTTTCTTCTTGACTACGCTTCACTGTCACCTTGCCTGGTTTACGGGAAGCTCACACCAGATACACCCTTGTCTGTCTATCTACATTCAAGACAATTCTAGAAGGGGAAAAAAGCACTGGTTCTAGTTCTCCAACCACACATCCCGAATTAGTCGTCGTCTATTTTACAACTACACAGCCAACTTTCCTAAAGGTATGTTTGCGTGCTTGCTTTGCTTCCCCGTCAATCTCGCTTGTCTTTGAGCGGAGTTCCACTCCCCAGTCATAAAATCGCCATTCTCAATGGGGGAGGGAAACCACCCCTGTGCTCTCTCTTTGCGAAATAGGGCACCGTGTTGTCTTCGACCGTAGGAAGGACCTCACCCCTCCACTCATCCGGAAATGTGCCTCGGTGCTCCGAAGCATGGGCCAACCCCAGATATGATGTCTGTTGAACCGATGCGACGGAAACAACCCCAGGGTGCCTCAGGCCAGCGTCCCATGCTCACGTCTAGTGACGCGCGCACACCTCTGGGGGTCGGTGAAGCGTCTCTATATCTTCACTACGCAGTCCTTGCTTGCGGCTAAGCTAAATCGGAGCGTGCGACCCGGGAGTCCTCCCAATGGCCTGTCCCCATTCACGTTTGCGCGACTCGAGCTTGCTTTTGCGCGGCACCTGATTTATAAACGCACCACCCATCGTGTAACTGGCTGCCACAAAAATTGTATTTTCTTGGCCATGACCTACAATGAGAGCGTACCTTTTGATGTCTAAGCCCCCTCACTGAGATCGTCAGTCCGGCCCAACCCTGATTTTTGGGGCCCTCGGGTTGGTCAAGGACATGCAATCTCTGCGAGTGCAGGAACGAGGCAGCTCTCCCTTTCCAAGCCGCTTACGAATTGTCGCCCTGGAATTGGAGTTACCTCTGGACTGGTTGAGGTGAATGGGAACAGGGAAGTGTCCCACTTTGTGAGGCACTGTGGGATATGAATCATTGATCAATATGATGAATTTTTATACAGGCCCTGTTGCTCCAGTCGTTGCCGATTGCTGCCAAGGAAAGCACTGCTACCCACTTACATGTTGTTGCTCCAGAGGACCTTTCAAGCCGAAAAGCTGATTGCATCTGCTGATTGTGTTTCTTCCACTCTCTATATATATCGTGGCACCCTCAACCTTCTTCCCTCTTTCTCACTTTCATCAAAGCATTTTCTTTACTTCTTTTACTATATTATAGTAAATTCTACGCAACCTATACCATCCTATAAAACTAACGTCTTCATCTTTAGTCTCCTGGTCACTTGGGGGTAGAGCTGATCAGATAAAACCACATATACGATCACCCCTTCTCCCCGAGAGCCTCCCCTCCTCTATCACTCGTACGGAGACCTCGATCCGTATTCTAGGATGGGCATTCCCATCGAGTTCGACGATCGACAAACCCATGTCGACGCATTGAATGAGGAATTCCATCCTTACGAGTACCAGGATGAGAACAACTCCTCATGGGCTGGGGCCCTCCCAGTAAAGCAGTACGTTTTCTCCAACAATGGCCGATATCCGCAGCTCCATCTCGTATGCTAACGTCTTATATCTAGGGTCTTTACGACCCGAGCTTAGAAAAGGATGCTTGTGGTGTCGGGTTTGCGTGCCATATCAAAGGCTTGGCCAGCCACAAGATTGTTAGCGATGGTAAGCTTGTGCTCGATGGCTTTCTGCTAGACTGAATCCTAACTCGACTTAGCACGCAATCTACTATGCAACATGACGCATAGAGGCGCAACGGGCTCAGACGCCAGAGACGGTGATGGTGCGGGAGTCATGACATCCATCCCCACAAATTCTTCGTCAAGAATTTCGAACGCGAAGAAAACATCAAACTCCCTCCCCCGGCCAATACGCTGTGGGCAATTTGTTTTTCAAACCACACGAGGAGACTCTCCAAGAGTCTATCCACCTCCTCGAGGAGATTTCCGAGTCCTTGGGTCTCCGAGTCCTTGGCTGGAGACGGCCTCCCGTGGACTCCACACTCCTCGGCCCTGCTGCCAAGTCGAGAGAGCCCGTCATCATGCAGCCATTTGTTGTGTTGGCCTCTGCCTATGGCCCTGGGAATGCGCCTAGCGAGACCCACGCCGAGAACTTTGATGAGCGCCTCTTTGAAAGGCAGCTTTACGTCCTTCGGAAGCGCGCTACTCACACTATCGGGCTCAAGAACTGGTTTTATCTTTGCTCCCTCTCGAACAAGAACATCGTCTACAAGGGTCAATTGGCGCCGGTCCAGGTCTACCAATACTATTACGACCTCGTCAATGCCGACTACGAGGCGCACTTCGCCCTGGTTCACTCGCGATTCTCGACCAACACGTTCCCCTCCTGGGACCGTGCTCAGCCTCTACGATGGGCTGCCCATAATGGTGAGATCAACACGCTACGCGGAAACAAGAACTGGATGAGGGCTCGCGAGGGCGTCATGCGTTCCGATACCTTTGCTGATGAGCTCGAGATGCTCTATCCTATTGTTGAGGAAGGCGGTTCCGACTCCGCCGCTTTCGACAATGTGCTCGAGCTCTTGACCATCAACGGCGTCCTCTCTTTGCCCGAGGCTGTCATGCTCATGGTCCCCGAGGCCTGGCAGGGAAATGCTCATATGGACCCCAAGAAGGCTGCATTCTATGAATGGGCCGCCTGCCAAATGGAGCCTTGGGACGGCCCAGCCCTATTTACGTTTGCTGATGGCCGGTACTGCGGTGCCAACCTTGACCGTAACGGTCTTCGACCGTGTCGTTTCTACGTCATGGATGATGATCGCATCATCTGCGCGTCTGAGGTTGGTACTATCTATGTTGACCCTGAGCGAGTCATCAAGAAGGGCCGTCTTCAACCGGGTCGCATGTTGCTGGTTGATACCAAGGAGGGTCGCATTATCGACGACGCCGAACTCAAGAACAACGTCTCGAACCGTTTTGACTTCCGCTCTTGGCTTGATAAGGAGCTCCTCACCTTGCCCAAGGTCTACGAAGAGGCGGCGGCGAAGGCGGACCTGTCTCGAAGCCCGATGCTACTCCCCTGCAGCAGGATCCGCTCCTTTTCGCTTTTGGCTACACCCACGAGCAAGTGAGCTTGCTTCTGGCTCCCATGGCCTCTGATGAAAAGGAGGCTCTTGGTTCCATGGGTAACGACGCTCCTTTGGCTTGTTTGGCGCAGGCTCCCAGATTGCCCTACGAGTACTTCCGCCAGCTATTCGCGCAAGTTACCAACCCCCATTGACCCTATCCGAGAGTCGATCGTCATGTCTCTTGATTGTTATGTAGGGCCCCAGGGCAACCTCTTGGAGATGAACAGCTCTCAGTGCGGACGCCTTCTCCTCCCCAGCCCGATCCTCTCTATTCCCGAGTTCAACTCCTTGACGCACATGCACAAGAAGCATCCGGGCTGGTCGGTCAAGACTATCGACTTGACCTTCTCCAAGAAAGAGGGAGTTGATGGCTACCTCAAGCATCTCGATTTCATCTGCAGCGAGGCCATGTCTGCCGTCGAGTCCAAGGACAGGATTATCGTCCTCTCGGACAGGAACACCAATGCCGACCGCGTCGCCGTGTCCACCCTCCTGGCCTCCGGCATGGTTCACCACCACTTGGTTGCCAACAAGTGGCGATCCATGGTCGCCCTCGTCGTCGAGACCGCCGAAGCCCGCGAAGTTCACCACATGTGTGTCCTTCTCGGCTACGGTGCCGATGCCATCAACCCATACCTTGCCATGGAGTGTATTCTCAAGCTGAATCGCGAGGGGTTGATTAAGAAGATGCTCACCGACGATGATCTCATCCGAAACTACAAGCACTCTTGCGATGGAGGTATCCTCAAGGTTATGAGCAAGATGGGTATCTCCACGCTGGCGAGTTACAAGGGCGCTCAAATCTTTGAGGCCCTCGGCCTCGACGAAGTTGTGGTCGACAAGTGCTTCCGTGGCACCGCTTCCCGTATCCAAGGTGCGACATTCGAGATTATTGCTCAAGATGCGTTCCGATTCCATGAGCGCGGCTTCCCCTCTCGATACACCGTAGGCATCGAGTCCCTCCCCGAGTCTGGCGAATACCACTGGCGTGATGGCGGAGAGCCTCACGTCAACGACCCGACAGCCATCGCAAACCTCCAAGATGCTGTCCGCAGCAAGAATGACAAGTCTTACGAGGCCTATTCTCGAAAGGAATACGAGCAGATCAAGGCCTGTACTTTGCGCGGCCTGCTCGACTTTAACTTTGAGGATGCCGAGCCCATCCACATCGACCAGGTTGAGCCCTGGACGGAAATCGTCCGCAGGTTCTGTACCGGTGCCATGTCGTACGGCTCCATCTCGATGGAATCTCACTCGACTCTCGCCATCGCTATGAATAGGCTCGGCGGCAAGTCGAACACGGGTGAAGGCGGTGAAGACCCCGAGCGCTCCCAGCGCTTCCCCAACGGCGATACTATGCGATCCGCCATCAAGCAGGTCGCTTCCGGTCGCTTCGGCGTTACCTCTGCTTATCTGGCGGACTCGGATGAGCTGCAAATCAAGATGGCTCAGGGTGCTAAGCCCGGCGAGGAGGAGAACTTCCTGGCCACAAGGTCTCTAAGTCTATTGCGCGAACGCGCCACTCCACCCCGGTGTCGGTTTGATTTCCCCGCCCCCGCATCACGACATCTACTCGATTGAGGATCTCAAGCAGTTGATTTACGACTTGAAGTGCTCCAACCCCAGATCTCGGGTTTCCGTGAAGTTGGTGTCCGAGGTCGGTGTTGGCATCGTCGCTTCTGGTGTCGCCAAGGCCAAGGCTGACCACATCTTGATCGCGGGCCACGATGGTGGTACCGGAGCTAGTCGCTGGACCGGTATCAAGTACGCTGGCCTACCTTGGGAGCTTGGTCTTGCCGAGACCCATCAGACCCTTGTTCTCAACGATCTCCGTGGTCGCGTCGTCGTTCAGACAGATGGCCAGCTCCGTACCGGTCGCGACGTCGCGATTGCGTGCCTTCTCGGTGCTGAAGAATGGGGTTTCGCCACCGCCCCCTTGATCGCCATGGGCTGCATTTTCATGAGGAAGTGCCATTTGAACACCTGCCCTGTGGGTATCGCTACCCAGGATCCCGAGCTGAGGAAGAAGTTTAACGGTACCCCCGAGCACGTCATCAACTTCTTTTACTATGTCGCCAACGAGATGCGAGCCATCATGGCTAAGCTTGGTTTCCGCACCGTGAACGAGATGGTTGGTCGGGCTGAGATGTTGATGGTCCGCGATGACCTCCGGACTAACAAGACGGCCAACATTGACTTGAGCTTGCTCCTGACCCCGGCGCATAAGCTTCGCCCGGGCGTGGCCACCTTCAACGTCCGCAAGCAGGACCACAAGCTTTACGTACGTCTTGACAACAAGCTCATCTCCGAGTCGGAATCGACACTCGATAAGGGGCTGCCGTCGAGGATCGAATGTGAGGTGGTTAATACGGACCGAGCGATGGGTACCTCTTTGTCGTACCACATCTCGAAGCGCTTCGGCGAGGTCGGACTACCCATGGACACTGTCCACGTTAACATCAAGGGTTCTGCCGGCCAGTCGTTTGGTGCTTTCCTCGCACCCGGTGTCACTTTGGAACTTGAGGGCGACTCCAATGACTACGTCGGCAAGGGTCTCTCTGGTGGTCGCCTGATCATCTATCCGCCTCGCTCGGCGGTTTTCAAGGCTGAAGAAAACGTCCTCATTGGCAACGTCTGCTTGTACGGCGCTACCAGCGGTACCTGCTTCTTCCGTGGAGTTGCGGCCGAGCGCTTCGCCGTTCGTAACTCGGGTGCCACAGCCGTTGTGGAGGGCGTGGGTGACCACGGCTGCGAGTACATGACGGGCGGTAGGGTTGTCATTCTCGGCAGCACTGGCCGAAACTTCGCCGCTGGTATGTCGGGCGGCATCGCCTACGTCTTGGACAAGCACCACGACTTCTTGTCTAAGCTCAACACCGAAATGGTGGAGGCCGGCCCTGTGGAGGATCCCACGGAAATTGCGTACCTCCGTGGCCTCATTGAGGATCACCACCACTATACGGGATCAGAGCTCGCCACGCGCATCCTCATGGACTTCTCGAGGGCCCTGTCGCGCTTCGTCAAGGTCCTCCCCGTCGACTACAAGAGGGTGCTCGACGAGGAAGCGGCCAAGAAGGCGTCGGAATCAGCTCTTCCCAACCTCCCGACCTTGACGACCACTCACCAACCCAAGAAGGCGGACAAGGGCACCAAGCTCCAGGACATGGAGGAGATGATTACCGACGGCGCGGCGGAGAAGAAGAAGAAGGCCCTTGTGCTCGACAAGACAAAGGGCTTCATGAAGTACCACCGACGGACTGAAAAGTACCGGCCGGCCAAGACTCGGACCAAGGACTGGCAGGAACTCAGCCAGCGGTTGGACGAGGACGAGCTCAAGTACCAGTCTGCTCGATGCATGGACTGCGGTGTTCCCTTCTGCCAGTCCGAAACTGGTTGCCCCTTGTCCAACATCATTCCCAAGTGGAATGAGCTGGTGTTCCAGAACCAGTGGCAGGATGCTCTTGACCGCCTCCTCATGACCAACAACTTCCCCGAGTTCACGGGTCGCGTGTGCCCCGCTCCTTGCGAGGGTGCATGCGTGCTCGGCATCAACGAGGACCCCGTGGGCATCAAGTCCATCGAGTGCGCCATCATTGATCGTGGTTTCGAGATGGGATGGATGATTCCTCAGCCCCCAAGGTGCGCACCGGCAAGAAGGTCGCCGTTATTGGTTCAGGGCCTGCTGGTCTCGCTTGCGCGGATCAGTTGAACAAGGCTGGCCACACCGTGGTTGTCTACGAAAGAGCCGACCGACCTGGCGGTCTCTTGATGTACGGTATTCCCAACATGAAGCTGGACAAGCGCATCGTCAAGCGACGAACCGACTTCATGGCCGCCGAGGGCGTGACTTTCAAGACTGGAGTGGCGATTGGAACAGACATCACCCTCACCGATGTCAAGGCGGAGAACGATGCGGTCATCATCTGCACCGGCTCCACGGTGGCGCGTGACCTCCTGCCAAGGGCCGCAACCTCGAGGGTATCCACTTCGCCATGGAGTTCCTCCACGCCAATACCAAGTCTCTCCTGGACTCGGAGCTCGCGGACGGCGCGTACATCTCGGCCAAGGGCAAGGATGTCATCGTCATTGGCGGAGGTGATACCGGTAACGACTGCATCGGCACGTCCATTCGGCACGGCGCTAACTCGGTGGTCAACTTTGAGCTGCTCCCGCAGCCCCGCCGGAGCGTGCGCACGACAACCCGTGGCCCCAGTGGCCTCGCATCTACCGCGTCGACTACGGACACACCGAGGTGATGCAGCACACGGGCAAGGACCCCCGCGAGTACTGCATCATGTCGGAGGAGTTTGTCGACGACGGCAGCGGCAAGGTAAAGGGAATCAACACGATTCGGGTAGAGTGGACTCGCTCGTCCAACGGTGGCTGGGATATGAAGAAGCTCGAGGACTCGCGGCAGTTCTTCCCGGCCGACCTTGTGCTTCTTTCCATGGGTTTCTTGGGTCCTGAGGATCGCGTCTTGGGTGATGCGATTGAGAAGGATGCGCGAAAGAATGTCAAGACCCCTCCTGGAAAGTACTGCACCAACGTCGAGGGTATCTTTGCTGCTGGTGACTGCCGACGTGGCCAGTCTTTGATCGTTTGGTAAGTTGACATGGATTCAATCCCCACTTTTTTATTTCCCTTTCCAATCGGGCACGGGACTAACGATTTTCACTTGCATTTAGGGGCATTAATGAGGGTCGTCAAGCAGCTCGCGAGGTTGATCTCTACCTCGAGCATTGCACAGGCCTGCCTGTGACGGGTGGTATCATCAAGACCACGGCGCAGGAAATCTTTGAGGCCATTCAAAAGGTTTAAATCAGGAGAGCCGCGCGGCGTGGGATTCCTTTTTTGTTCTTTCTCCCGTAAGGCTTGATTTCGTATATTGGCTGGGGAAACGTGACGAGACAACGAGTATGTGTTGCATCCAAAAGACGGAGAAAAACCAGGCATTTTACAAATAGTATGGCGGCATAGCATAGACTGGCAATCATGGGATGGAAGGAGTGCTTTTTTTCCTCTTCTTGTCTATTCCCTTTTTTTCTTTTTCTTTTCTTCGTGGCTCTATACTTGATTTTACGATGGTATTCCGACAAGCATGTATGTAGTGTTCTTTTTCTCTCAGCTTGAGTAGTTTTGCAAGCCGAGTCCAAAAATTAGTCTTCTGTTCTCTCTTCTACCTCGCGTCCCTCTGCGCTCTTAGTGTGTGCCTTTGACGACATGTGCGGCAACGTTGGATATAATCCATTTACTGAAAATGGCTTGCGAGATGTGGCTCTTTGAATTAGGGTGGGTTTTACAACTACCCCCGTCTGATTCAAGGGCCATTGTGTGACAGAAGCACCTCATATGATATCGAGAGGTGGCATGAAGCGGGATGTATGCAGATGATGTAATGGAGGGGTTGTAGGCAAACCAAACTCCAAGTCATGGACCTCAAATGGCATCTTGTTCATCTGATCGTTTTAAGTCCGTATGCGGTCTATGGAAGAATTGCTGAGCCTCTAGTAATTTAGACTAGAAGTAGTATCGCCAAGGACCTGCTCACCCCGATCCGTCCACAACTACATATCCCTCTCCATCATCTCTGTGTATATCACTTTTTCTCAGAGAGAAAAGACAATGGCGCCGAGCGTGGACCCCGCGCTCATCGAAGCGCTCAACCTCGATCCCGGGACGGCGCGCATCTCGAAGCACGGCGGGTCCGGCTTCGCGTCGACGTTTCGGCTAGAAGGACCGCCGGGGGCCGAGAGGTGGCGTATTTCGTCAAGACGGGCGCGGCGCCGACGCCGAGGTCATGTTTAAAGGTATGCCCTTTTTTCTTCTTCTTCTTCTTCTTGTGCTTCGTTGAAGGTCTAGAGTAGCAGTCGGCCGGGAATAGGCTTTGTCGCGCGGATATCTATATATATATATATATATAGATATTGTTCTGCTTGCGACACTAGACATGAAAGCTGACCTTGACGACACGCGGATTGTGTATAAAACGATCGACGTCACGCTAAACGTAACAAAACAAATAGGTGAACATGCCTCCCTCAACGCAATCCACTCCGCCGTCCCGGACTTCTGCCCCCGGTCCCACGCCCACGGCCAACTCTCCTCATCAGCAGACACATTTTCCTCGCCACAGATTTCCTAGACCTATCCTCCTCCCCTCTTCCTCTTCCTCCTCGCGCCCCGGCTCCGGGCGCACCGTCGCACAAAAGCTAGCCCAGCTCCACCGCACCCCAGCGCCCGTACCCGACGGCCAACAACGCCCCTCGTTCGGGTTCCCGACGACAACGTGCTGCGGCGCCACGGCGCAGGACAACGCGTGGCGGGACACGTGGGCCGCGTTCTACGCGGAGAACAGGCTGCGCGGGATCCTGGCCGAGTGCGCGCGCCGGGGCCAGAACGACGGGCCGCTGGACACGGCCGTCAACAGGGTCGCGGCCGAGGTGGTGCCGCGGCTCCTGGGTGGGCTGGAGGAGGCGGGCGTGGTGCCCGTCGTGGTGCACGGGGACCTGTGGTCCGGGAACCACGGGCGGGGCGTCATCGGCGGGACCGGCGGGGTGGAGGAGGTGGTGTTTGATCCGTCGTGCGTGTACGGGCACTCCGAGTACGAGCTGGGTATCATGAAGATGTTTGGAGGGTTCGGGGCCGCGTTTTGGAGGGAGTATGAAGAGTTGGTGCCGAGGGCGGAGCCAGTAGAGGAGTACGAAGATCGGCTGCGACTGTACGAGCTGTGCGTAGTATTCCCCACCCCTCTGTCCCTCCTGTCAGCCCTCACTCACCTGGGGGCTTCCTCTCAGGAACTAGATTGTTGAGACTAACCGGCAACCTTTTGAGATGTATAGTTACCACCACCTGAATCATACCGCTCTATTTGGAGGTGGATATCGTAGTTCGGCCATGTCCATCATGGAGAAGCTAATCTCAAAGTACGGGAATTGAGGGACGACATCATCAGAGGTACCCGCGCCGGGCGCTTTGTTAGTTTTCTACAACGCCAACGAACGTAGCAACTCCCACTCCTCTTCAATGTTGGGAGCGGAGAGCAAAGGAGGAGATAAAAGCGGGATGAAAAGAAAAAGAAAACAGTAAAGATGTGCTTGATTGAAATTGTCGGGTTGTCCGAATAGAGAATCTATCATATCAGCTGGCTAGCCTCGGATGTCGAATGCTCTAGCCGAACGAGAAGGAAACAGGGTGACAAGATATATATGTGTATGCAACCAACTGCCCCGCGTTGAAGTGAAGAAAATGGAAAAAGATGCCAGAACGAAAACTCCTTGTGGGAATGAGTTGCGAGTAAGCCGGAAAAAGATTAGGAAAAAGAAAGAGAAACACATCTAAGATGGGACTGTGGACTGTAGCCGTCGCTCATATAGACATACATTTCCGCATCAGGGTAGGATGGCAGACAAAAAGATGGAAACTCCAACGCATGAAGAACGAGAAACAAAAACACCATTCAGACACGAATGGACCTTCCCAAAAAGAAAAGGAGAAAGGGTTCCTGACTCATAAAATGCATTAGATGGTAGAATCGGCTCGACGAAACTCTGGTGGGTAGTGCAAGCTCCGCGTCGCAGCTACGCTAACATGGCTACCCGCTCGGGTTGCTTCGCGGGTTCGGCTTCTTGGGTGTCTTCCGGTCTCTCGTGAACGGGGAGTTGCGACACGGGCGCGTCGGGGAGCGCCGTCTTTCCAGCAGACATTTCGGCCTCTAGGGCTGCCAACTCCTCGTCGACCTCTTCTTCGTCTTGCAGCGTCATCTTTCCGCCAAGCATATCGCTCACCTCCTATAGACAATCGTTAGCTGCCTCCCACTGCCTTTTGTCACCACTCGGCCCTCTCACTTCTTCACTCCTTCTAGCCCTCGGCTGGTGTAAAAGAAAAGTGCAGGATAGAGGGCGAGGGGGAGAGGGAGAGCCCAAAGTGCAAGGCAAGACCCACCTGCTGGTACGCGATGGCATCGGCCGTCTCGCCCATAAGCTTTTCCACATGTTCGATGCCGCCCATCTCGGCGTGAATCTCCTTGAGCACCTTGGTGCCCTGCTGCAAGCCGAAAACGATGTCCTTTTGTATCAGGGCGAACTCGACGCTCGAGGTCAGCTTCTCGAGCTGCTCGAGTTGGGCGTCCGTCTTGGCGAGCAGACTCTCCTGGTACTTTTTCCGGCGCAGGGCCAGCAGGGCACGTTTCTTGTCGCCCTTGGCGAGCATCTCCTTGGCGATGGCAGTTTCGCGGTCGGTGAGGACGGTCACGCGGCGTTGGTACTGGTGCAGCTTGTCGCGCTGGATCTTCATGTCCAGTATGGCTCTGTAAATGGAGCGGAAGAGGAGGCGATTAGCAAAATGAAGGGGGATTCGCTTCCGGGAAAAGGCCAAGAGGGGAGGAGAGCACAAAAGAATAGGCATTACGAGGAATGAGAAAGAGGAGATGGAAGATGGATTCAAGACCTACTTGTCCTGGGCCGTCACCTTGCTAGAATTGGCCCCCATTTTGCAGATGGGCTTTGGGCGGGTTCTTGCCCCTCCCCCTTCTCTCTTTGCACGAGCACGTCCTGATGCCTAGGTCTCTCTGTACCGATGCGATGCGCCAAAAGGTTTTAAGGGGCGGCAGAGGGAAATCTTTCTGGTGCGCGCCGGTAGTGCCTAGGGTTGCGACTCGGGGAAAATAAATTTGCACAAGTTGAACGCGAGGGAGGCGGAGGGAAGACGCTTTGGAGAGGGGAGGAAGGAAAGCGTGAAAGTGGGTGTGGGTGTCGATGAAGCGGAAGCGGTGATGGCAGGCGGATGATCAACGATGAATGGTGGATGGCGGGCAGTGGCAGAGGGTGGTATAGTGGGGGTAACAGGTCCGGTGCGCCCCTTCCGTCTTTGGCTTGGGCGCATCAATCAATCTAAACAGGGCCAAAGCCGTGTGCGCGAGTGTACACTTACCAATTGATAGCGCAGCGCTGCTACTTGGTGCATGTGCCTTGCCCAATGTTGTCGTCATCGGTAAACGGGGCAGCTTATCGATAAGAAAGTTGCCAGCCCCGTCCGATGGTCGGCGAAAGACCCACGCCTCACCAGGCACATCAAACCGGCACGGCAAGGACAAAGATGGGGCGAGATGGGGAGAGTCGAAAGAGGGCATCCGATTGAGGGTTCTTTATCTCTTGCCATTTAGCCTTCTTTTGAGAACGAGTCTTCTTATCACATTTTCCGTAGAATAGAGGGAATTCATTCGTGCACAGTCCCGGTCACGCGATAGTTGTGTGAGCCACCCTCGGCTGGTTTCGCACGATATTATCAGACCTGCTTGACAGTTCCTAGCTCCAGGTCGCTAACACTTTAGTCAAGACTCTTGCAGAGAGACGGGCAGATGTCAAGATGATTCTGATCAGTGAATTGAGGTTGAGCTTCTAATTGTACACGTATGCTATGGTTTACATGGCTGAGAATATGCACCGTCTATTGTGGCAAGGTGGGAAAAGAGGCAGGGCCAAGCCGCGCCTCATTTCAAGATGAGCAAAGATTGTGGATCCGATTCCCCAGTCCGCCATCCTCCCATGTGTGGGAGGGTTTCCGGCTTAGTCTGCATGCTCAGGCGTCCTATCCTCAAAATAGGCCAAACTTCTTCTTGGGCTTTTCCTCCTCGATAGCTCCGCCCTTGGCTGCAGCCTGAGCATCAGCCTCAGCCTCGGGCGCGGGCTCGTCCGCGTCGGGCTCCTTCCTACCGAGACCAAAGTACTTCTCCATGGGGCCCTTTTCCGACTTGTGCGCCATTTGAAACGCCTGCCTCTTGAGTACGTCGTCCATCTTCTTATTTCGGCTCTCAAAGGCCATTTGGCTGTTGTGTTGGTTGTGTAGCTTCATGACGCTGAGGTACGCCTGGATGAAGTCGATGGGGTGCTCGGACAGCTCGGAGATGGGTGGCAGGAGGTGCTTGAATGGCGAGGTATGCGCAAAGTTCATAAAGTACGTGGAGACGCCGAGGACCAAGAGCGTACCCTAAGAAGAATGGAAAAAAGTAAATGTTAGCCAACGCAACACGGACGGGTCTCTCTGTCTCGCTCTTTCTCTCTCTCCCCTCTCTTTCTCTCTCATTCAAACTGGCCAGCGCCGGTTGTACAGTGCCTCCGAGACCGCGGCCGCAATAGACATCTTGCCTCTCTCTTTCCGGAGGCACTAGGGAAAAGGGCATTTGTCATCGTACCGTCGTAATGTAAACGTGAACCATGCGGCTCGTCCAGAACCAATGCGCCCACGTTCCCTTGGGCGCCAACATGGTCGGGTAATCCTTAAAGTCCTGCGCCTTGAGCTCCTCCTTGGACAACGCGCCTCCGTAGTGCTGGGACGTCCGGCCCTTCCTTGGTAGCCGCGACCCATGCGAGGGTGGGTTGAACTTGAGGGGCTTCTCGAGCACAATGGGCTTGTGCGGCGGATTCGACGCTCCCTTCTTGGCGGGTAGCGCTCTCGTAGAGGATAGTTTCCGCGCCGCTGCCGGGCTTCGTCGGAGGGCTATCGTCGCGCCACGCGCCGAAAGCGCGAGGCTGCTTGCTGGAGCCATCTTTGAGTGTCGTGAGGTGCGGGTGGACGGGCGGCGTTGGCCTTTTTCCCCCGGCTGCTTCGGCGCTAGCTCTGGTAGGTGAGAAATGCACCTTTTCTGGGCAAGTCGGGTGTGCCCCCAGTTTCTGTATCACGATCCGCCTGGTGGCTCTGTTCAGCCTCGTTCGCAAGGGGGTGGATAACCTTGACGTCGCCGGGCGAGGGTGGCTGCTCATCAACGCTTCTTAGAGACCAAAAGTATCTCGAAGAAAAATTGGTAGCTCAGACCACACTGGCCGCACTGGCAGAGAGGGAGCACTCGGCGAATCAGAAAGACGCACCTCCGCTGACCTGGGAGACCCACTTGTAATGGGCTTTTGCTCCCTTGTTTTCAACGGCTTGCTCGTGTAAAGTACCGTACCTAGGTATCCCTTTTGTTCTGTGGGCCGTCTCTCTCTCAGAAAAGGAACGCTAGGGTGGGTGCTTGCGCTGGGACTTGTTCTGATTTTTTTGGTGGACGAACTGAGCACGGGAATTTCCGGGCCATTTTCGCAGGCTTGAAGCGGCGTGGAGCGCCAAGAGCCGCCTGACTCTGCCAAATTTTCCCTAGTCGCGTCGCATGCCGAATTTTTCCCGGGATCCCGTGGGCCCAGAATTCCGTGTTGGCAATTGCATGTCTCTGATTGGAGAAACAAGCCACAGCTGTGGCCGGGGCATTCGTGAAGTCTGTCATCATCCGAGCTTTCGGTTAACCCAGCGCCACTCAAAGTTGTAAAAGCCGGTATTTTTCCCTACGCAATCCTGTTCAAAACTTTTTTTTCCCTTTTCCTTTTCTTCCCTCTCCCCCAGTTCCAACCTTTTGACGAAACCACTCTCTTTCTCACGACGATACGATAGACGATCTTTGTCGCGTCACTTCAACTCTAGAATCAACCTTCTTTTATTCCTCTTTCTCACCCCCAACTTCAGACACAATGGCTGGTGGTAAGTTTCTGCGCTCCCTACAAATTTCCCATCGAACCACTTATTCCCTCGCACCACCCGGTCCCCGTCTTCACCTGGATACACGCTTCGGATTGCCCACGACGGGTGTCAATTGGGAGCGTCTTGACCTTGAGAATGGTCTTGAGGCGAAGATATGTCCCGTCGGCCCTTGGGTTGGCTGTTTTGGGGATGTTGGGGTGCTCCCTCGTAGGCCGACAGCTTCTTCCATGCGCAAGCCAGCGAGCTGGACGCACTCCAGGCTAGTCCTGGAGTCGCTTTCATCGCTCGTTTTCTCGGAGCCGCTTCCTTAGCCATTGCTCGCGTCTAGAGAAATATGCAAACTTTTGGGAAACCAAGTTCGTCTTGTTTTCTCGCGCAAAGACGAAGTGATGAAAGGCTGCATGCTTTTTTTCTTCCTTGACGTTACACAGTACCTACGTCACTCATGCAAACGAGTTTCTGAGACACCATCCGATGCTAACCCGTGCTCCCTCTTCCAGGCGATATCAAGAAGGGTGCCAACCTCTTCAAGACCCGCTGTGCGCAGTGCCACACCACCGAGTCTGGTGGCGGCAACAAGATTGGCCCTGCTCTCCACGGTCTCTTCGGTCGCAAGACCGGTTCCGTCGACGGTTACGCCTACACCGACGCCAACAAGCAGAAGGGCATCACCTGGGACGAGAAGACTCTCGTGAGTGGCATTTCCTCCTCGAGCTTCACTCGTGCACGCAGCCTTCGTCGGCTCGGGCATTTGTGAAGCTGCTTTTTCCATCTTGTGTGTAACTCTGCTAACCTGCTTGCCCCGATAGTTCGAGTACCTCGAGAACCCCAAGAAGTACATTCCCGGCACCAAGATGGCCTTCGGTGGTCTTAAGAAGGAGAAGGACAGGAACGACCTCATTGCGTAAGTTGCCCTCACTCACCCGCGAAACCCACCCAGCGAGACATGGGCAGGATTCGGGAAACAAAAGGATCGTTTTCTTTTGCTAACACATCTCCTTTCAACAGCTTCCTCAAGGACTCTTGCGCTTAAACTCGCTTAGATCCGTGTACTCTTTGTTTTTCTTTCTTCTCGCAACCTCCAAAATTCTTCAAAGCCTTTCTGGTACTTAGCCCGAAAATCTAGAATCATCAACTTGCATTAGAGCAATGTTTGGCGACCTCTTTCTTCATTGTACAATAGAGCCTTTAGAATACTATCGGCGCTCAACGAACTGAGACCCTGTAGTAACAAAATACATCTCCCCACCTTTTAATCTTTTAAAAACAAGACCCGTCATATGGTGCCCAGTGAATGAACCCTGAGGAGCAGATCATTGCCGAGGATCTATCAATTGATCCATTGACTTGTGAAGGGAGAGATTTCCCCAGCTTCGTCTTGGTTACGATGTAATCCTGATGGAACACCATCAGTTGAAGAACACATCATCATCCAATGCACATGTGCGGAATCTTTTTTTCTATTTCTTTTTCTAGTTCTCTTGAGACTGGCAAGGGGCCAATGAGGAATATCTATTATGAATCAACTGGGGAAGAAGAAGAAAAAAATCTTTCGTTTCAAGCCCACCCCCGCCTACCCCTAATAAAATGCGCCGGCCGAAAGGGAGTTGGCTAGCTCTCCGCTTATTACTTTGGACAAGAAAAGGAACGAATCGTAATATAAGAAATTGCCCAATTTTCCACACCCTTCTTACCCGCGAACCCACACCCCCGCCGCGCTCGGCTTCCGTACCCTTGTTATTCTATTGTCTTGTAAAGAGCCTCTGCTCCCCACTTAGTTATTTGTAGCCCATGGCCTGATGATGGGTAGGGGGGCTTGGGAAGCGCCGCTCACCTTGTCCAAGAATACAAAAATGGGCAAGGAAACGGAGAGGAAAACCCCGTTAACTAGAGAGGGTAGCTCCGCAAAATGCGATAATCACACCTCGGTCATCTCCTCCGCCAGAGCCATGGCGCGGTAGAGCTCAATGTTGGCCACGGACGGCTTCAGGCCCTTGAGCGCCACCTCCCAGTCGTCCTCGGAGGGCGCCACGTTCGCCCTCGCGGTGGTGGTGGGTCCGCCGCGCACCGCCCGCTGCACCGCCTCCAGCACGGCGCGGTCCATGAGCTCCGAGAGGTCCGCGCCGCTAAAGTGGCCGCAGCGGGCGTCGCGCGCCACGGCCTCCACCACGTTCGGGTCGCTGCCCAGGCGGCGGGAGCGCGCCATGGTCTTGAGGATGTCGAGGCGCTCCGCGTCGCTGGGGAGGTCGACGTAGACCTTGCGGTTGAAGCGACCCGTGCGGAACATGGCCGGGTCAATCATGTCGGGCCGGTTAGTGGCGGCCACCACGTAGACGCCCGCGCGGCCGCGGGCGCCGTCCAGCTCCGTGAGAAAGGTGTTGACGACGCGGGTGCCCGCCTCGGTGGACGTGTTTTCGCGCCGCGGCACGAGGGAGTCGATCTCGTCGAGGAAGACGAGGCAAGGGGCGCACGTGCGCGCGCGGTCAAACAGCGCGCGAATCTTGCGCTCCGACTCGCCCACGTACTTGTCTAGGAGCTCCGGTCCGTTGACGAGGATGAAGCTGGCCTGCGCGGCGTTGGCGATGGCTTGCGCCACAAACGTCTTGCCGCAGCCCGGCGGGCCCCAGAGCAGCACGCCGGCCGGCTTGCTCACGCTCTCGTACAGCTCTGGGTGCTTGATTCGGTTGATGATGTTGAGCTCCAGGAGGCTGATGACGTTGCGTAGCCCGCCGACTTGGTCGAGCGTGACGTCGGGGATCGCCGTGAACCCTTCGCGGTAGAGGTGCGGCGTAAACACGCTAATGGCCCGTTCAAAGTCCTCGAGCGCCACCGGCCGGTTCGCGCTGTAGGCAAAGTTGCGGCTCTTGAGCGCGACGAGCCGCAGGTCGTCGCCCACGTAGCCGTGCGTCCGCCGCGCGATCATGGTGTAGTCCAGGAGCGGGTCCCCGTGCTCGCGCCCGATGGCCTCGAGAATCTCTTTGCGCGCCTGCTCCGTCGGCGCTTTGATGCTGTACTTGTCCTCGAGTAGTCCGTACTTGTGAAACTCGCCCGGTATCGTCTCGGGCCGCGTCGTCGTCGCCGCCACCGCGATCCGCTGGCCCTGCCTCTTCACCGTCGTGAGCCGCCGTAAGAATTGCTCCATGTGCGCCGCCGCCGCGTTGGGCGGGCTCTGGCTCGCCCCCGGCGCCTGCCACAGGCGGTCGAGCCGGTGGATCTGCACGATGCAGGGTGCCATGCCCGTCGCCTCGTCAAAGACGTCCGATAGGCTCTTTTCCACCCTGTCAGAGGTTTCTAGGACGAGGCAGTCCACCTGCAGGAGCGGCACTTTCCACCGCGACGCGAGGTGGGCGAGCAACGCCGATTTCCCACACCCGACCGGCCCGGAAAGAGCACGGACGGTGGTACGCTATTCGCTGGCCGGTTGTCCATGATCACGTCGCCGTCCTCCGCCATCGTGACTTCCTCGCGCGGCACCATCTGCGGCCACACGTCGACCTCGAAGTCGTGCACCACGCCATCTATGCCGCCCAGGTTCGGGAGACCTTTTAGGTCGGCAATGGTGTACCCCTTATTCGTCTTCACCCTCTTCGGCATGAGGAGCTTAGACGGGGCCTCGGCCGGGTTTTGCTCCCCGTCCGTCGTCCGCGTCCGCGCGGTGGCCGAAGGCGACCGTGAGCGCCTTCTCTTCTTTGTGCCATTCATCTTGTCCGCGCCTTCGGAGTGGTCCGTCTTGTCCGTCTTGTCCCCCTTGTCCCCCTTGTCCTGCTCTTTTGTTTCTTGTCCCTTTTCCTTTTTCTCGGCGAGCTTCCACCGTCTCGCGAGCTGCCGGTTGAGGAGGCTCGAGTCGGTCGGTGGCGCGGAAGGGGTGTCCTGAGCGGATTTGCCCGACGCTTCCTCCTCCTCTGCTTCCGATTCCTGGTCTTCGAGGTCCTGCTTTCGGAACTTGAGCGCTCTTTCGATTGAGTCTTCTAGGGGTTTTCGTTTTTGCCGGCGGAGGCTCGAGTTTGACCCGCGAATGTAGTCGTAGACAGAGGCAACGGTGAGGCGCGGCCTAGATCCTTTGCCGGGTTCGGAATCGAGGTCCAGCTCGTCTTCGAGCTTTCGGACCAGTTGGTACACGTCCCGGTCGAGTCCCGTACGCAAGCTCAGCCGAGGCATTCTTGCTTTGCGAAAATAAAATTACAATCACCCTTGGCAGTCTTGCCTTCCTCTTTCCCTTTTTCTTTTCTTTCTTTTGCTCTCCGGTCGCGGGTTTTTTTTTTTCTTTTTTTCTCGAAGTGTTCAAAAGTGGGTCTCCAACTCTCAACGTGGGGTGAAACGGGTCCTAAATCAGTGAAATTGTATCAGGATTGGAACAGTTTATTCATTTCCACGTGATATTGTGGGAATCTCGATAACTGTAGCCAAATTTTACAGTATTAACCTTGACACCGCCTTCGTTTCCCAGCAAATGCTTGCTGCCCCTCTTCAGGATTTCGCCGTTCCCTCGAGTTCCCTACCGTTTCAACACCCCACCATCTCCGTTCTTCTCTTGTCGTGCCTCAGCTGGACACAGTTGGTTGTCTTCACATTTCTGGCCCTCTTGGCAGGACTTCGACATCTCGTGAAAGAGACTGTTTCCTCTAGCTGGCGATAGTAATTTCTCTACTCTGTGTCAATGCAATAACTGTGGCTTGGCCCTCCTCTCTCAAGATCAAAAGATCCTCAATCTCGAAGGGATCGGTTGGAAGCACAAACGCGCAGTCCACTGCCAGTACGATTTGAAGAGGTGCCAACTGATCTACATCCAGTAATTTTTTTCCCCAAGCTCCAAGTTCCTTACCCCTCCAAGCATTGCTCGACGCTCACTAACATTGCCCAGTTCCATCGTTGCTAGACCCTACGTCAGCCACATAGCACTCGGGCAGCAGAAGCTCCCTGACGAACGGCAACCATGCCTTCGGTTCAAACGCTTCTATTCTCCCCGCGGAGCTCGCCTACCTCTCTTCCTCCCTCTCCCTCCCTACCCCCATCCGGCCTGATGGCCGCAAGCCCACCAATTTCGCCCACTGACGGCCGAGACGGGCATCCTTCCGGGCACCAATGGCAGCGCCCGCGTGTGCTTTTCCGACGGTACTGAGGCCATTGTCGGTGTCAAGGCCGAGATTCAAAAGACGGCGGACTTGACCGCCTCCCACCTTCCCGCTTCAGCTGCGCCTAGAGGAGAACAGTCGAGGGCAGACGACAGCGAGGGCCTCGCACCAGAACCTGCCGCCAGCAACGAGTGGCTGGAAATCACAGTAGAGATACCCGGATTTAGAGATGATGATGCGACGACCGTGTTCTTGGCGTCCATGTTGAGCGAGGCCCTCACGGCTGACCCCGCGTTCGCGAAGAAACTGGTGATTAACCGGAGGTTCCACTGGAAGCTCTACCTCGATGTCAGTTTAATCCCATTCCCTCATCGGTTGGTGTCCGCACCAACCCAGTGCCCCTAAGGGATGCGCCCGCGAAAGCTGACTGACTCGGGATTCTCTCTAGATTTTCCTCATCTCCCCTCCTCTCTCCTACCCCCTCCCCCTCCTCTCCCTCACCACACATCTCGCGCTCCTCGCCACGAGATTACCGCGACTCAAGTCCGAAGGCGACGAGGACCCCATGTTCGACGACGACTGGGAAGCCGCGACCTACCTCTACCCTCCCGGCCCCGCGTCCAAACTCTCCTCGCGACCGCCCATCACCCTCCTCGTCATCGCGATAGGCGACAACATCTTCTTCGACCCTTCCGGCGAGGAGCTCGCCGTGGCCGAAGTCGCCCTCGCCGTGTCGGTCGCCGAATATCCCACCGCTCCAAGCGCGACGGGGAATACCATGGACCTGGACTCCGCGCGTAGTTTTGCGCTGGTGTCGGTGAGGACGATAGATCCGCCCTCGCGCCTGACGCCTCCGGGGATTCCCGACGCCGAGAACCCGGCGACAGGGGCTACGGGGGCTACCTCGGGCGGGAAGGAGCCGCAGCAACGCAAGGCGCAGTCGACGAGAGGGGTGTGGAGGGCGCCTGTGGGCGGCGCCAAGTTCAGCACAATACAGCTCATGATACAACAAGTCATGGAAAGGGAGGGGTGGCGGACGAGGTACTCGATGGGTTAGCGGGCGTAGAGCTATCATAATGCTTTTTTCCCCACTCTTTTCCCTTTGCTCGAGGCCATAGCATGAATGTCTCTCCTCGACCGGCCGCGAAAAAAGGCAAGAGGATCCGGAAGTTGAAGATAAATAAAACAACACATGGACGTAATGAATGACCAAAGCTTCTTGTTTCGACGCAATATTGAAAGTGCGAGCCCGGCTCACCGTTACACTCTATCTATTACTATAGTCTTGTCTGAGCGCTCACTGTGACGGGGAAGAGAAAATAACATGTGCCCCTCGGGGCTGGGATATCGTAGAACCAATCTTTCGCCTTGCACTCCACAAACCAAGATCAAGGCACAACCTGCAATTCTCCACCCAAGGCACAACCCGCCGTAGTCAGATCACGCCTTTGCCTCCTCAGGCTTCGCGGCCAGATCAATGGCCACCTTTTGCATATTCTTCGCCACCAACTGCTGCAGGGGCTCGACGCCCACCGTCGCCAACGCCGCGAGGATAAGCCCCTCCAGCTCCTCGCTCATCCCCTCCCTCCTATCCGTGTAGACATCCAAGCCTTCCTCGGTGAAGAGCGTCTTGGCGAACCAAGTGACCGCCCACTTCTCCGTCCGGCCCTCGGCATCCACCCTCTCACCCCACCCAATCATCTCCCACGGGCAGGAGATGGGCTTGAGCAGCCCGCTGCCGCGCCAGTTCCACGCCGTGAGGTCGCCGCCCCCGGCGGCCACCGCCGTGTCCGCGCCCGACACGGTCTTGACCTTGGTCGACCCCTTGCTCTGGTAAGCGACCAGGTCGCTGATGCGAGGGTTGCCCCCGCGGTGGGTGGGAGCGCCCCGTACGTGATGGTGAGGTTCTGTGCCGTGCGCCACCGCTTCAGCGTCGAGTGCGTGACGGTCCACGAGCGGTGCAGCCACTCGAGGGGCGGGGATGAGCTGCTTTCGGCGGCTTGCGCGGGCTTGTACTGCCTGGGCGCGCGGATGTGGACGGCCGCGGAGTCGCTGGGTGTAGGTGCAACTGCGGCGGCGGTAGGCGGAGGAGCGGCTTCGGCCACGGTGGGTTGCTCGGTGGACATTGTGATGAGAGGTGTGTTTGGTGTTTACTTGTTTTAAAAGCGGTAGAGTGGTTCTCCCCTCGTCTCTTTTTTGATCCTTTTAAGAGTCTAGGGAAGAAATAGTTTCTAGATAGGTGAGATGCACGTTTACTCAGATGAAATTCCGGAAGGCTCGGGATAAGAGATGGTTGAGATGGATGAGATGGCGTTGAGAAACGATGAGAAGAGAGCTAGGGTGCGTCGATCTTCATATTGTGTTTCAGGACAGTCCAGGCGTCATCGAGCAAGTCTGGGCGCCACCATCCCAAATTGATATTTGTCCAAGAGATCAACCCCCACCACCCTCGTTGATTTTCATAGTTGATGAAGGCCTTGTATGAAGTTTTCACGGAAAAAGGGAAGCCGAGAGAGAAAAAGGGAAAGAAAAATAAATTTTACGTGGGGTATCATGACGAAGTTAATGTTGAGAAAATTACGCGGCTTAATTCTATCGCCGTTCATCCCGCCGGCGACTTCCATCATCCCGCCGCCGTTCCTTTTCCGGTGACCGGCTTCTCTTCCGCCGCCTACCGTCAGAGTCCCGCTCCCGACTGCGTTCTCTGCGGTGGCGCTCCTCTCTCGACCGATCCCCACCCTTGTCGCGGGATCGGCGCCTCTCTCCCCGTCCTCGTCCTCGTCCTCGTCCTCCCGCCGCCGCCGCCGCCGCGCGCTTCTCCCGGTGCCGCTCTTCCCTCTTGAGCGCCCTCAGCTCCTCCTCGCGCTCCTGCTGCGCCATCTGCCTCGCCTTCTTCACCTCGCGCACCTTGGCGGCGCCCATCTTCATCATCGCTAACGGGTCGCTCGAGACCAGCCGCGCCGCGTCGCGCTGCTTCCGCAGAGGGTCCTCGTTGCCCCACGCGTTCCTGGATGGCGTCTCGACTTCCACCTTGGCGGACGACGTCACGTACCACGGGTTTCCCAGGCCGTCCTTGCCCGCGGCGTTGGCCAGACGCATCGAAAACTGGTCTTCGTATTCCTTGCGCCTCTGCGACGCGGCCGCTTCCTTTCGGCGTCGAGATTCTTTCGCGAGTATTGGTAAGCCTTGTCGTCTCCGATCAAGTCAATGTGCCCGTCCTGCCCCACGATTGGTGCTGAGCTCGAAGGTTTGCTCCTCGACGACGAGGACGCCAACGCTAATGACGGCTCCTGTTCGCCGGCGCGTTCCCTCGCGAGTCTCAGCTCAAACTCGGTGTCGTCCTCCCCGGGCGCTTCCGCTGTTTCCTCTTTTCCTTGTAGCTGAGCTTATCCCCCGTACTCTTTGTATCTCCCAATGTCTCCTCCACGGCTTGTGCGGCTTCGTCGGTTTCTTCGTATGGTGGGGGATTTCGCCCCGGAGTATGGCTAGCCGGCGTTGGGCATCGTATTCCTGCATGCGCTGCTCCTCTGCCTCCTCTTTGGCTTTCGCCGCCGCCTCGTCGCGCCGGACGCGCGCGATGTTGTCGGCATTGTAGACGTTCCACGATTTCTTGGGCAAAAGATGACTGGATTATGGGGATTAGCTGCGAGCACCATCCACCTTTTGCCCTCCCTTCCCATGGAAAAAGGGAAAGAAAAAGAAAGAAGATAAGAAGAAAAGAAAATGAAAGCCACGGATTCTTAGAAAGTAGACTTACAGAGGCATCTTGTAGTAGATGGTGTGGGATGCACACCTGGAAACCCCAAGATCAATGGTTTCTTTCCTCGATGGAGAATACCAAAATACCAATGACGTGAGAGGTCTGAGCTAACCCACCCACCGAAATGGCCAAGCCAAACCCGTCGTTCTGGGGCTGAGCGCGCAGAGAGCTGGAAGCTGGAAGCTGGCAGCTGACGACCTCCGTTTTCACGTGATAGACTAGAGCTTGAGTCCCGGGCTGGCAGCAATGCCCCGCATCAGCAACGGACCTGCTACACTTAGGGGCGGATAGCTCAGGCAACGACATACGACGAAGAGACAAGACCATCTCGCAAAAGGACAGATGGTTCTACATTTCTAATTTGCCCCCGTCGCACAAAATATATACACCGATCTTTTGAATTGAGAATAGGGTGGGAAAAAAGGAAAGAAACGTGGTTGGGAAACGAGCGCAATTGCTTCATACCACCCCGCCATCAGCTTCTCATCGTCATCTAGAGTTGCCACCTACCTTGACTCCCCCAAGCCTATCCGTCCACCCTCCCACGCATAGAGAGCTTGAGAGTCCCTTGCAGCAACTTCCGTAATGTACAACAAAGGGGATACGGCGGCCCCGGTGGTCCCGGAGGCCCTGGAGGTCCTGGAGGAAACCGGCCTGCCCCTTCCTACATGTCGTCGCGGGGCCCCCTCCGCAGCAGCAAGGAGGCGGCATTCGACTTCAAGTGGGCAAGGTCCAAGACCGTATGCTCCAAAGCAGCCTAATCTATGAAAACGTGTTAGTAGAAACTCCGAATCCCCCATCCTCCCACTGGAACCACTAGTGTGTTTGCTCTTGTTCTTCTTGTATATTCTAACTTGGCGTCCTGTCCCGCAAAAAGATGTGCCGTAAGCCCTCAGGACTTTGGCGAGGGCAATTCGCACGTCCTCATCCGGAACCAAGAAGGAGGCGAGTTCGTCGTCGCCGCCAGGGGCATCCCAGGCTTCGCGCCGGGATACATCGCCCTCAACGAGAAGCAGAGGCAATGGGCGAGGATCGCGCAGCTAGACACATTTATGGGCATGCCCTACGACCCCTTCCGCGCCGGCAAGAACGTGTACCTCGGCGCCGTCGAGGTCTCCGTCAGCTTCGCTTCCCCCAGCAAGAAGACGGAATACGTCTACAGCGACGACGAGCTCATCCCCGTGTTCCTCGGTACTTTCAGAGACCAGATCCTGCAGCCCGGCCAGTTTATTCTCATGGACCACCGCGGGACTCCTCTCCTCGTGACCATCAATGGCGTCACCTTGACCAACCTCGGCCAGCAAGAGGGCAGCGAAATCCGCAACGACCCGGGCGCCCGCGGCATCCTGGTGCAGCAGACGGAGGTTTTGATGACGGCGGACGGAAGAGATCAGAGGGTCGCGCTTAAACTCAAGTCCTCGGCCACGGGCAGCACCAGGAAACCCATTATCACGGCCAGCTTCAACTTCTCCCAGATGGGCATCGGCGGTCTCGACGACGAGTTCGCCATCTTGTTCCGAAGAGCCTTTGCCTCGCGCGTGTTCCCGCCCAAGGTTGCCGAGCGCCTCCGGATCCAGCACGTCAAGGGTATGCTGTTGTACGGCCCTCCCGGAACGGGCAAGACCCTTATTGCCCGTCAGATCGGCAAGGTTCTCAACGCCAAGGAGCCCAAGGTCATCAACGGTCCCGAGGTGCTCAACAAGTACGTCGGCCAGTCGGAAGAGAACATTCGAAAGATTTTCGCCGACGCCGAAAAGGAATACAAGGAGCGTGGCGACGAGAGCGACCTTCACGTCATCATCTTTGACGAGCTGGACGCCGTGTGCAAGCAGCGAGGCTCGGGAGTTGGTGGTGGCACGGGTGTCGGTGACTCGATCGTCAACCAGCTCCTTACCAAGCTCGATGGTGTGGACCAGCTGAACAACATCCTCCTCATCGGAATGACGAATCGAAAGGACATGATTGACGACGCCTTGCTGCGTCCCGGTCGTCTGGAGCTGCAGCTCGAGATCTCTCTTCCCGACGAGTTTGGTCGCGTACAAATCCTCAACATCCACACCAGCAAGATGAAGGAGAATGGGGTTCTCGGCGACGACGTCAATATCGAGGAGATTGCAAAGCTCACCAAGAACTTTAGCGGTGCTGAGATTGCCGGTCTCGTGAGATCAGCGACATCATTTGCCCTCAACAGGCATATCGAAGCCAACGACAAGGGTGTCATAGCGAAGAATGTGGAGAACATGAAGGTTGGACACGACGATTTTGTGTGAGTGACGCTCCTTTTCCACTGGATAGAGATCCATTCACAACGCGGCGTGACACATAAACTGACCCTTGAACCTTGCTTGACCTCGTATATAGGGGCGCTTTGGCCGAAATTATCCCCGCCTTTGGTGTTGCGGAAGACTCGCTTGATCTTCTCTTGCCCATGGGCATAATCAAATTCAACCCTCCCCAGTTCGATAAAATCTTCCGCGAGGGCCTGGAGTACTGCAACACGGTCCGCCAGTCGGATACTCTGCGCCACTTGAGCGTGCTATTCCACGGTCCTCTCGAGTCCGGAAAGACCGCCCTAACCGCGTACCTCGCGAAGCAGTCCGACTTCCCCTTCATCAAGGTCCTCTCCCCGATGGATCTCGTGCCCTACCGCGACGACTTTGCCAAGAAGGACTATATCCACAAGGTCTTTGCAGACGCCTACAAATCCCCTATAAGGTAACGAGACCAATGTCACGCCCCTTACCCTAAATTAGATTGGGTTTCCCTGGTTGCAAGTTGACTAACCGGAATGCCCCGTGACAGCTTGCTCATCATTGATGACTTTGAAAGCATCATCGAGTACTCGCCTATCGGACCGCGTTTCTCCAACGTGATCCTCCCCGCCCTCATCACCCTGATCCGAACCCCGCCTCCCAAGGGCCGACGACTACTCACTTTCGTCACCACCTCCCACATGGGTCGCCTAAAGCGCCTACAGGTCGACACGTACTTCCCTAGGCAAGTCAAGGTGGGTCCCGTCAGGACACTCGAGGAGCTCGCCGAGGTGTTGGTACAGAGCAAGACATACACGGAGCAGGTCGTGAGATATATGTGTGAGGAGATCCGGTCTCAAGTAGGGCCCGACCGGTCCGGGCAGTTCGTGGTGGGCCTGGGCATCAAGACGGTCTTGACATTCTTGGAGGAGGCCAAGGTGATGCAAAACAACGGACAGGACGGCGTAGAAGCCTTTGTTCAAAAGGTGGCGGAAGCCATTGTCACGGCAAGAGTAGAGCTAGAAAACGAGACTTCGGGCCAACGTCAGTCTTTCGACTAAGATTTCGGTGGGCGAGCTCTTGGAGGTATCTGTCTTTTACAAGCCAAGAAGAAGAAAAAATAGAACAAGGAGGGTTTTTATCCCCTTCTCTTCGTGCACTATTCCTAACCCTCTCTTTTCATCACACTTCTGTATCGTCTACTTTCCCGATAATGAGATTGCGAGCTGAGGATAGAGACAGCAACACACACGCGCGTGCACATACACATTGATTTACATTTGATATATACTAGAACCGATGAAAAGCGCGCAAATGGATATACAATGTATGTAAACACGGCGGTTGTGGCTATGGGGCTCAACCTTGCCGAGTTTGCCTCTCTCCCACGGGCGTGACTCTTGTCTACATGGTCTACATGTATCCAGGCAAGGCCAGGTAGATGCACGGCCATATCGACTCACCTCTTTTTTCTCTTCAACACACAGATTCCGGCCCGTACGTACGTAAAGCAGTAGCGGTGCATTTCCTCCGCGCCAGGCCAAGCAGCACGAGAAGAAAATATTTTCCCAGCGCCACGGTTCAAAAGTTCGCAGCTGCAGGCCAGGCATGGGGGCATGGGGGATGCAACATCGACGACCACGCAAACCTTTGAACCGGCGATTGGCTCACAGTGGACAACCAATGTTTGCAGCTGCTGGGTCGACGGGGCCGGCGAGAAAAAGAAGTCTCCCAACGCCGTGGTGCTCGCGACGTGCATTGCATAAACACCACGTCTTGGAGTTTTGCTCCTTACGCTTTTGCTTTCCTTTTCCGGGGTGGGTGATTCGCTGTCTGGGCTACACCCCAACACCCGAAATGTGTGTGTAATTTTCTTCTACCAAGAGTAAATGGCGGACGTGTACGCACATTCCCACGTCCCCCTCTGTTCTCCAAGAAAGAGCCCAAAGAGAATGCGATGTAGTATTCTGTAGTGTGTCTCCAATCTCTAGCAGTAACGCCGAGGCGTGTCTCGGTGTTTCTCGTCGCAAACCCAGCCATCGCCGGAGCACATCTGAGACGCCATTGATGTCATTCCAAGCAGAACTGAATCCGTAGCGAGGGGCGCTCTTTCGCGAATTCGGCACGCGAGGGTTGAGCTTTTCTTGTCTCAGCCTTAAGTGCTTGGCGCTGGGCTGGGGAGGAGGAGGAGGAGGGGGAAACGTGGGAACGTGGGACGTGGGTGGACGCAGGGCAAGCTATTGATACGATGTGGCCGGTGGGACGGAAGAGGCAGGTCTCAGTTCTTATCAGCAAACGTGGAGTGTTTGGGGCATCGGATCGGGGACGAGCCAATCGTCGCTGAACAAGCTCTCAGACCATTGTTGTTTCTTTCCTTTGAATATCTAGATTTGATTTTCAATCAGGACCTTTTTTCTTTTATTTTCCCTTTTTACAAAAAATCAAGGCAAAACAGCAAATAGCAAGGATAGGAAAATCCAGACGGCCTGGATTGATGTTTACCCTGGCAAGCTGGCAAACATATCTCACGATCTCCACATGATTAAAACAAGAAGCAAAAAAGTAAGCAAAAAGTGGCTTCATTTTTCGAAGGCAGCCCATTCACATAAGAAGCGAAAGCAAAAGTATACCCCGTGTTCCCCGAGTGTATCTCGTTCAACAAATGGGACTAACCTCTGCGTGCTTCTCTCGAATAGCACGGTGACTAGAACGGCGCCAGGTCGAGGCTAGAACAGGGCCCGAACACAATGGCTAGCAGCGAATAGTCGCAAAGTCTACCATGTGGGAACCGAATCCGAACATAAAAAAGAAAGAAAAAGGGATGCGTAAGCAAGGGGAATGGTGTAGGAGTGACGTCTAGACCTGGGGGAGCTTTGTTGCTGTTCAAAGACCCTGAGATATGCTCTTTCGTCATTGTTTCTACATGCGGCAGGTCTTGGCTGGGGCTCGGAGCTTAGGAGCTAGGAACTAGCACGAAAGATTTACACCCCCGAGGCTGATGGCTCTCGCCATCTGCTTCCTAGATTCTTGGCATGGAGCTTAGCCAGCGTCATGGAATCCGACTGGTCTCTAATATTCTCGAGCACAAAGGCAGGAGGCGATTCTAAACATTTCCTCTGGCGAGGGAGGCACCGGCGTAGGAAGCTGTTACCAAACCGTTTCATTCACTTTTTTCTTTCTTTTTTTTTTTTTTTTTTTTTTTTTTTTTTTTTCTTCACCCTATTTTATGCGACACCCCAAGCTTTCAGCGTATTTTGGGGGACCGTGGGATGTGCACATTCTTCTTTTCCTTTCCTAAAACGAGCATCATCTGTAAATATGTTTTCTTCAAGATCGAGATCTATACATGTTTCGGGGACAAAGCTCCGCGTCGTGCGGCTCACGCACTCCGGCCCGGTCAACCTACACAAGCAGGAAAGGGGGCCTTTGACCATGGTATCTTTCCGCCCTCGCGTTTCTTATAGATACTTCGCACGAACAGGTGCGCGTCGTTGTCGTGCAAGAGATGGATTGCTTTACGTCCTCCACCTGTCACTCTTTCGGCCTTGGCGCGTCCCTCTGCTGTAAGCAAGCGCGCACTCAGCAGCGGCCCCGTTTTCTATAACAGGCCCCTGTATACAAAAAGATATCAAGCAGTATCCGGGTCGAGCAGGTGTATATTACGCAAATGAACCTGGGTATTGAGTCTGTTTGAGAAATAGTCCGGGCCTTTTATACACTCCAACTCCCTTCGCGTTGCCCGGTCCTTCGATCCGGAAGGCCGTGTCGGGAAAGTCGAAGAGCCCCAAAAGAGGGGAAAAGAGAGAGGGTAAAAAAGAAGTACAAAAGAAAACAAGGGGGAGGCACAAACTGACCGGGAGGGTTAGAGGGAAATGCAATCGCGGACTGCCGAAAAAACAAAGAGGGGGAAACGTCACGCCCGAGTCCCGGAGGCCGTAACCGGGACGGGATCAACTGCGTCCTCGCGCGCCTTCTGGTTGGTCTATTTCCAACTTGCCTCGCTGGAGCAAGAGACCGGCTATTGGGCGAGCTTAGCGACGCGACCATAGGGGGCAGGATTAATCCCCGGGGCACACCTGCTCATTTGGTGCCGTGGACGGCTGGTTAATTGAGCTCACCTCGCCTCCCCGCCCTGCCGCCGAGGACCTGGCAAAGAAGGGGACCGAGCTCCCGGAAAATTCGGTGGGTGGCATTGGGCCAAGGGATGCGAGGCAAAGAAGGCCGCCCAGCGTTGATCCCCGCCCTTCCCCGTAGGCACAAAAAAAAAAGCCTGAAAAAGAGTTAAGAAAAGAGTTGGTAAAGAGAAGTAGAAGATGATCGAGGATGCGCGCGCGACGGCTGCTGGCGTGGATGTGGCTCGACCCTCCATTAGGTCGCCTTGGATCAGACTACCGGCCGTCTCGTGCGTATCAAAGGAGGCAGATCGGCGGCTTCACGTAGAGGCCTGATCGACGCCTCGTCCCGCCCCTCTCGTCGCGGTAATGCGCATAGTAAGGAGAAGGACCACCAACGTACGTTGATCACCGACCATTGCGCGTTGGACTAGCCCTGTGCTTCTCTCAAAGCCTCTGTTCATCGGCTGATTTTTCGTCCGATGCGGTTCGTCTTCTTTTTTTTTTTTTTTTTTTTTTTTTTTAGTTTTATGCCTCCTCGCCTCTGGAACGATTTGACAAAGAAGGGGGGCGTTACATCTCTTTGACTTGAAGTCGTCATAACTAAGAATTTCGTCCTAGAGGTTTTCACCCAGGTCATCATGGGATCCGCTAAATTGACGCGGGCGCCTCCGAGAGAGGAGAGCGACCCTCTCTCTTGTCAAGTTGGTAGTGATCTTGTGCAAGTGATTTGCGAGATTTGCGAGAAGATGTTTGTCTTAGTGTAGGCTTCAAGTTCGTGCATGGAAGCCACAGCCCTAGCGGCCGGGTTAGACCACCTCGTTCCGAACCCCACCCGGCCTTTCCCTCTAGGAAGCTTGCTCTCCTTCTCGACTAGGACTAGACTCATTCGCGAGATGGGAGACCCTCAAAATCCACTGGCTGGTTGGAAGGCCGGGACGACACCTGCGAACTGCATCATCGTAGGCCTTTCCGGAGAGGGCGAAGTGGCGGGTTGGGATCCCTGGGGCCCTTGAAGAGGCCTGCAAATCCATCTCGACAGGCCTACAATTTCGGCCGGGCTAATGGTATGAGATAGAGGCACGAAGAGAGCGAGTTTGTGTCGCATTCTCAGCGCTTCATATGTCTGCCTCTGGGGTCTGGTGGAAAGATCCTAGACTGTTGGTTGCCGGGCCTGTGGTGCATCGCTCAGTTGTTGCCGGCGCAAAGCCCTGTAAAGTTGGTTGCCTTGGCCCGAGTTTGCCATCCGATGTGTTCACGGGACGGCACATTCATGCAGCCCTTCTTTTCCTCCTTCTTTCTCTTCTTCTGCCGGGCGAGTCGATCTTTCCAAATGCTCCGAGAGAAATGCACCATCTTGATCAATGCCGTCCAACGACTTGCACATCTCAGTCACCAACGTCAACGCCAGACGTCATTGAGACTGGGATCCATTGCCCTGGTTTCGAAGTTCAGCGTAAGAATGGTGCGTATCCGAAAGCACAGGCACATCCAGAGCCCATTTGCCCATCTACGAATTTCCAAGGAAAGGAGTGGAGACACGTAATCCATCAAAACTCGGGATTGTACAAGTAGGTACCAACCCTGCGCACTTTGCTTGCACACTGCGCATCGTTGCAGCCCAACTTGAAGACCACCAACATTCAAATCGCGGCTCTAAACGGTATTACGGCGCCCTCTCATCCGTGGCTGTTTGCTTCTCGCCTTATCGATTTGGCGTATTTTCTTCTTCTTTTCCTTCCTTTTCCCCTTGGCTCTTGCTTTTCGCCCCGGCGGGTCTTGAAAAGACGTTGGGCTCGGGCCCGTCACTGCTCTGTTCCTCGTCTTGGCTTGACCAGGCCCTCCCCCTGGCGCATTCAATTTCCAAGCGTAATTAAAAAGCCACCCTGCGACAGTGGCATCTGAGACTGATGCTGCTTATTTGCACAGGGCCAGGCCCTCTGCACCCCCAAGCCTTTGAATGACACTAGGGAACAGCCGCACTCACTCAGCACTCAAACCCGCCTCAAGGGGGAGAACAACCCTTGTTTGTGATGGGGGTTGACAAGGGCGTCCGGCGGACTCGGCAAGGAACATGAAGGAAAGCACCCTCGCCCTCTCTCATGGAAGCGTGTGTGGACACGACGCTTCCCTCTCCGACAAGTTCACCAGCTGGGAGGATCTGACTTGAATTGTAATGGTGGGGGAGAGGGGCTGTGGCATGGATCAATTGCATGAACATGTCGAGTGATGGACCTTGATGGATCAAAGTCAACTGTCTGACAGTCCCCGGGACAAGGATCTGACATTTTGATGGACTGAAGGATATACCTTGCTCGTGTCAAAGGCAACAGGAGGCACTTTTCCTTCCATGAATTTGATGGCTTTTATTATGGCAGGCAGATGATTGATCTGTGAATGAGTCCTCTTTCAGAAACTTTTGTCTCGGGGCCGACTTTACTACATGTAGTCCATGTGCCTGAGTTGACTCATTGACGACTTGATCTCGATCACGATCTGGTGGGGGACCTGCGGTGGTGGGCTTCTCTAGCTTGGTGCAATTGGCATCACTGATTCGCGCATCTCCCCTTGAACCTGATCGAATCGAATGTAACGAAAGGAAAAAAAAAAAAACTGATTGCTTTCTCGCTGAGATCAAGGGGGCCATTGTCATCAGTCAATTTCTATTGCGAGCCTAGCAGTAATAATAGCATCAGCACAACAAGAGGGGAGGGAGGTCCTGCAGGTGCGTTGAAGCAAGGGTTTCCATTGGCTAGGCGGCCTCGGAGCATGTTGGAGTGAGCCAAACAAGTGATTGAGCGCTGATTGACAGACAGGGAAGAAGGACACTCGGCGAGGAGCATGCAAGTGCTTCGCGTAATTCCTTTGCTTCCCTCCCACCCTGTCCTTTCGTACTCGGACCTTTGAAAGAATACCGCAAGGTGTGTACCACAAGAGAAGCCTCGTCACTCGGATCCGATGAAATGAGGGATGCCGGGAGAGAGAGCTAGGGAACAGGGTGCAAAGGAACATGAAAACGAAGAAGAAAAACACCGCTGATGAGGGGGTCCCATTCTCGAGTGCAACATCGTCACAGCACTTTTGAGCCTTCGCGGGGAGTCAATGGCTTTCTCTTATTGAGAAGCCCTCGTAGACATTGGCTCGCTTCTCCCAGCGTCCCCTTTTCCATCGTCTCTCATGCACGATGGCTTCGACATGCATATGAAGTTTCTTGAAGTTCTGGTTTGAAGGGTAGCTTGAGAGCTGGACAGGTGCTGTAGCCCCTTCATCGTGCATCAGTCGGGTTTTGTTCCCCGACCCGCCGCGGCCAATCCATTGAGCATCAATGTTGGCCTTCCGCCACCAAGGCAGCGGAACGATGCACTCCTTGGGGCTTGTTCTGTTGTCCCCTTACTTTCAAATTCCCACTTGCTAATGTCTCGTTCAGGAGGAAGGGAAGAAGCCAAGAGAAAGCCGAGGAGTGCAAGGAAGATTGATCAATGATCCTTTGTGGAGGTATGTCCCCCTGGAATAAAATAGGCGGCCAGCCATGGCCCCCGTTTTGGAGAGAGAGAGGTGGGAGAAAAAGACTGGAGGTATCGCTTTCGGGTGTAGGTGGGACACACACCCACTTTGGAGCAATTAGGTATTAGAAGCTTCTTCTAGTGTTCTTCTGAGCCACCTCCCATGTTTTTTTTTTTTTTTTTTTTTTTTTGGGTTTTGGGGAAATGGCACTCGTTTGATTGATTGAGCAAACTGTAATAACAACAAGAAGTTGAGTGTCAGAAAAGTCTCCTTTCTCACCCCTCGTCCTTGGGCCGGAACCAGGGTCCTTGGGCAGAGGCCTGGCCCGTTGATCACAAGATCTGGATCCCTCGAGAGCCAGCACGAGCTTCGTTCCCCCATAGCCCATCCGCCCGCCCCTTACCCTAGCGTACTGGTTACGGAGAAAGGAGAGGGAGCATAGGGTGAGCTCAATCCTGGGTTGGCATCGTTGCACCAACTGGAGTTGACGGCTGGCGTTTATTATTAGGGCCAGGGGATGAGGCCGCTACCAGTTGGTGGACGGCGTTGACGGAGGCTAGGCATCAAAATGGCCAGTTGCCCGGGGTGGGTGGGGAAGCTGGTTGTTGAATGACAGTCGAGTCCACTGCGAATGAGCAATGTCAATCGCTTTATGCCATTATCGAGTCCATCGCTCCTCATCTCGCTACTTGATTGACCGTGCTACATGACACGCAAATTGCTCATGCTTTCCCCTTTTCTCTTTAAGAATGTAGAGCGATTGTAGGCGTTTCGAGGGAGCTTGTTGACAGCAATGATTAATCCAAGAGAAAAAGGATAAAAATAAATAAAATAAAGACTCAGCCAGCAAGGTAGAAGGATCAAGACCATGGTCGTCTCGAGCCAGTCTCGCGGGTAGTCGGCCGATTCGAAGGAATCTATGGGGGCGATGCTGGTGCAGTCCATTTCGATGGATCCATCCTCCCGGAAGAGAGGCCGGCCGGCGCGATTCGCGTTGGACCCAGCCACTTGGTAAAACAAATCCAATCTTCTTCTCCCCGGTCTCTTTTCCTCAGGGAGATTGGCTGGGGCCAAAATTTAAAAGGCACCAGCCTTAATACGGTCTTTGGCATCCCCACCATGGACAGGCAAAAGGGATGACAAAAAAGCAGACTCAGCCTGGTGGTGTCGCCCAGCATCGCCTTTCTAGTGTATATTTTCCCTCGGGTTGGAGGGATATGCTCGAAGGGGGAGACTTGATCAGTGGTCAAGGCAGCCCGAGGATCGAATTTGACATGCACATTGAGTGACTGAGCCGGCGGCATTCGATGACACCATGCTCTGGTCGCTCGGCCCTCTCGTCATGGACGGATCGACTCCAATGGCCTATAATGCCTCGAATTTAATGCGTAGGCGCAGGTATCAGGCTCGGCTTTCTCAAGGAGCCGGGACTGGGAGCGTGTCCAACTGACATGCCCTCCAGCGTTGCAAAGCAGCGTCGCTGGCTGGGTCGGATTTAAATTCGACACGAGTGTAGGACCTGGCAGAGCTCGAACTCGTTGTTTGAAGCACGGCTGCCAGTTCAGTCAAAAGCTCAGTCAAATTCTTCAGAGAGCAGACAGGCCCTGCCCCCTTGTCTATATCTCGGACCCACATCTCTCTTCGTGCCTGCCTCCTTTTTACCAGGGTCCCACCCCCAATAAATTCACTCATCACCGGTCGAGGTCTGGCTTTCCTCGATGACGAGCATCGACCCTGCCGTAGTCACTCAATAAGCTTATGACCTATTCTAGGAGCGTGCAGAATGGAGGAAAGCGTAGGAATTTCGAGAAGAATAGCGGGAGAGGGGAGGCGAGTATTATACTAACTTTACAAAGACAAGGCCCGCTTCGAATCGAAGGGCAGCAGGAAGAAGTCGAAGCGGCTCTCTGCACGCACAGATGCGGCCTAGGCAGTGTGTGGTCTTCGGTTGGGGACTCTCGACCACTCGACTGCTCTCAAATGGACTGGCTCCATGTCGGTCGAGATGACCCTCAGATAGTGGCCGGAGAGAGGTAGTGGCCTTGTACCCATTGGTACAGCTGGAGGCTGGCCAATAGCTTGGTCTCGCCCCCGACCGCCCCCGACCGCCGGGTCAAGCGTTGACACTCAGACACTGAACGAGAGTGCCAAAATGCTTAGGTGCCATTGCTCAATGTTGGGGAAACTTGCTTGCAGTTGGAGTGTGCTTGCATTAATACAAGGCGAATCCAGTGCGAGCAGGAAGGCGCGTTAGGTATCAGATACGAAGTGAAGCCCCATGTCTTAACGTTGAAGAGAACTCAGATCCCAATTTGGGAAGGTAGTCGAAACCTCTGCCTCTTTCTGGAAAGCCACCCAGAGCGACCTTGGAGGTACTGTTCGGTACATTCCCCAGCCCACCTCCCTTCCTTCTCCAAGCCCATCGATAGCTTTCCAGGTGGAGCATAGCTCCAAGTATTTGTGTACTTGCATTGTACCCTCCACTACCCTCCACTACCCTGCGCGGCTTGCTCTGTGCTCTCCTTCCACCCATTGCTCATTTGAACCCTGGCTGGGATTTTATGTGGTACCCCGTCCAATCTTGGCCGCTCCCGTTCCCAGTCACCCCCAGCCGCCGTCGCCAGTCTCTCCTCCCCCTTCAACTACCACCTTTCTCCGTCGTCACTGTAATAATACGCTATTGCTGCTTTGACTGGGAGGCGTCCAAGTCATTCCACCATTGCTTTTCCCCCTCGTTCTCACTTTTCTCGTCCTCTCTTTCCTGACTTCACAGAATTCTTCTAATCTCGTAATTCGACATCCCCAATTGCTCCCATGGATGGCGTTCTCAAGTAAGCCCAGCTCTCTTCCCCCGCTATAGATTAAACAATATAGAGAAAGTGTGTGAGAGAGAGAGAGAGAGACAGAAGCGCCGTCCCGCAATTCCCACACCCACGCTCCAATCGACAGAACCCGCCTCGTCGCCAGCCTCCTCCGAAAGCGACAAGAACGCGCCTTGTGTCCTCCAACTTGCCTTTCGAATCAAGCCGCTCGTGACGTTCGCAAGAAGGGAAGAAAAAGAAAACAAATTCTTAGCTTCTCACAATCGCGTCTCTTTCTCTCCGCCACACTCTCTCGCCGGCTTGCATGACGGTTTAGCGCCGCTTCGGTTTCTTGCATCTTGTGTGGAGGACTTGTTTGTGTGTTGACTCGATGCATCATCTTCGCGCAGTACTCGATAAACTGAGCGCCTGAAGCTCTCCCACCTCTCACATTCACCACTCCCCGTCCCCGCGGGTCGACCGACTGATTGTGGGAGCCATGGATGCGATTCAGCCTCTCGCCTCCCACCCACCCACCGCCGCCGACCTCGAAGCCCGCATACCACGAGACCACACCTCAAGGATCAACATTCTCTCGCCAAAGGCCCAGGTCCACGATGCAAGGTTCACCAAGAATCTCGCTCTCACTGCTGGGAGGGAACTGCCGAGTCGGGCTGGGCGGATAACGCGCCAACCTTCGGGCGCGTCAAAACCCTGGTCCCCGTCACGGAGCGACGGTCGCAGGAAGAGAACGTGTACACATGGAGGATACGGAAGGACCAGGATTCCGACAAGGTGGATATCGCCCCGGACGGGAACTCGGCGGGTCGCGAAGGCAGGCAGTTTACTGTCGCGAACGTTGGTCACAATGGACGCATATATCTCAGGTGCGTTTTTGTGGATTGGGGCGAACAACGGTTGGCATTGGAATTTTGGGGTGCCCTGTCGCGCTCGACCGACACTCCTAGAGTGTTTTCGGTGGCGGCGTAGGCGTATCCCAAACGTGTCGAAGATAAACATTAACATGCTTATAAAAAACACAGGCCGAGTATACGCCCCGCACACCAGCGCCCACCACAACCCAATTTTGTCTTTCCGATAACGCCACCTAGCACCGCTGGCTTGGACGCTCTAGTCACCGAAAAGAAGCAGAAGGATGAGCCGAGCGGAGCATCCTTTAGCAACGCGTGGGAGTCGACTCCCGCCCCTTCTCTTGACACCGAGTTGGGTCCAATGTCGAGCATCCAGCCTCAGACTCGGCGTCGAGCTGTTTCCGACTCAACGATTCGCGAAGCACCGACGTCAAGCGCGGTCAGGGAAATGGATGATGGCGCTTTCAAAGTCGTCATTTCGAAGCCCGCCGATGACCCCCGGCCGAAAACGACCGAGGACGTCAATCTCATTGGCCCCCTATCCTCGATGTCAACATCCCCTCTTGGAGGATTGGCTCCCCTCGATTTTCCATCAAGGGAACTCCTGCGATACGGGGTTCTTCGTACGCGCCGACTGAGGAGTTTGGCTCTAGCCATGCTTCCTTTCTCAACTCTAGGCTCCCAGAGCCTACATCCACCCTTCCGAGCCGTTTCTCGTCAAGGCGACCAAGCCGACTAAATCTCATGATGTCCGCCGCTATGCCCCAACACCCCCACCCTACCAACCCGCCAGTCCCGACCCTCACCTCCCCTCCTCCGAATGCCCTACCGCTCTACTTACATCTCCACGCATCTCGTCATTGATTCCTCAATGTTTGATAGCCTCACCTTCAAACCCGCCTGCGACGACCGGGCTATGGTGAGGTATTCTCCTAGTACAGGCACCGTCACTGCCGCTACACCCCCTCGCCTCGTAGCCGAAATCACCTCCCCTACCTTTCTCGATTACGAACTCATTTCCGACTTCTTCCTCACCTTTCGCTCCTTTCTCGAGCCCCTGGACTTGGTTCGTATGCTCTTTGCACGTCTCAGGTGGGCTATTGACCGGGCCGACGAGACCGGCATGGTTGTTAGGGTACGGACCTTTGTCGCCCTGCGCCACTGGATCCTCAACTACTTTGTCGACGACTTTGTGGTCGAGTATTCGCTGCGTGTTGCTTTTTGTAACCTGCTCAATGATCTGGTGAGCGATGTCTCTCAGGATGCGGAGAATAGCAGGATCCATCTCAAGATTTTGTCTGAGCTCAAAAGTGCTGGAGGCGAGTTTGCGCCCAGTTTTGGGACGGCTTCGACGTGGACTCGCCCGGCGGCGACTCCCCGTTGCACCTGGAGGAATCGCCGGGCACAGGGATCGAACCTTGATCCCTCCCACTGGGAGTCCGACGAGCCGCTGCCCTTGGATCTCGCCTTGATGTCGACCCAGTCCATGGAAGATTCGGGAACTGCGACGCCTCGGGGCATCCTAGCTGGTAGCCCCCATGGGGGTCCGTGATTGAGCGGCCAGGGACACCGGAAAACCAGTACCAGTATCATCTTCACGACCTCCAGCGGCAACAGGCCGGATCCCCTGAGCTTTACAAGCCTCGACATCGTTTCCTGTTCCTTCCCCGCCAAGAACCTGCGGAACCTCCAGTCGTCGTCATCTCACCCGATACCAGCTGCCCACCCCGTACCCTTGAACCCGACATTCAGCAGCACCGGGCTTGTCGCTATTACTCCCAAGGCGCTAGTTGGCAAGCGAGTGCGCCAGGGCCACAAGCGCAATGGTAGCATCACGGATTCGCTACGCGAACACAGCGTTGACAAGTTGAGTTTTAAGGACACCGTCGAAACTACCCTAACGGTGCCTTATGCCGGTAGCCTAGTCAGGGGCGACTTGCTCCCTCCGGGGCAGGCCTTTGTCGACATCGCTTCGCCTTCCACCATGGGCGATTCCCAGCGCGAGACCACAGTCCTTCGACTTGACCCGGACCACGGTGAGAAGGAACGGTTTGGTGCTTCAGCCATGTCTGGTCAGGGTATGCGCAGACTTATTGGGAGCGTTCGGAGGGCTTTGAGTACGAGAGGTCAGGGCATGCCTGTCACCCACGGCAACTTCATCAATATCTCACCTATCGGTCCTCGGGGTGCCACCACCAACCGCCTACCCGGCACTGCCATAGTCCCCCAGGCTGCTCGCCCGCGTCGGAACGGTACCCGGCCCCCTGTTCGAATCGATCTGCTCGGTGCTGAGATTGCGGAAGACTTCAAGAAGGCGGTCCGTGAGGATGCTGCGGCGGAGGCGGCGCAGAGGGCGCTGACCACCCCCATGCTTGGTAGCGCGCTTCAGCCCGAGGCGGAGGGTGTCGAATACTCGACTGCGCACCTCGATAACTCGTTCGACGACCTTCCCAAGCTTTCTGACCAGCGGCCGCAAAGCGAGATGGCCATCACGACCGGCAGCAAGTCCATCGTAATCGTGGACGATACGGCGTTCGATATGCCTACCATGCACGGCGCGCTTCCGGTGATGAACCCCTCTCTTGAGGCCTTTGCCAATACTTTTGCCTCCAACGCCGGCGACCCTACCCCGCCAACAACCCCTCCTGGCCGACCGATCGGAACTCCTCGGCGATCCTCTTTCCTCCTCAACCAGCATTTGACTCGCGCCTCTTTATCCTCCGATCCCCTACCGCCGTTCATCCCCGACATGGCTACGCTCGGCTGGGGTCGAAGCTCCACAAGCCGTCACTCGCATCTAACCTCGTACCCGTCGATGATGGAGCAGTCGATCCATGTCGGCATGTATCCCTCTAGCAGCCCCCGCCAACGGTCCAAGAGATTCCACAGCCGTCAGCAGTCGAGCAGGACGATTGGTTCGGTCAACTCCATCCTTCACAGGCGACACAACTCGTTTCACAGCAGTACCGCCCGGCCGCTCACGATCCGAAGCTTCGACGCGACGACCCAGTCGGAGGGTTCGATCATGGATAGCTCCGAAGTGATGCCGCCCCCTCTCCGCGTCCTTCGCAGGAGGCCCGGTGGAAATCTCGGTGCCGTCGCCACCGTCGGGGAGTTGGCGGCTCCACTCAGGCGCTCGCGCTCCGTGGGTTCGTTGACGGCGTACTCGGAATCCCTGCATAGCTCTTTCGTGCAGCGTCGCGGGTCGAGCGGGTACGCCAACGTGACCTCGAACGACTTTTCGCAGCAGGGCCACAGCGATACCTTCTCCCTCGGTGCTATCGCAGAGCAGCGCCCCAACAGGCAGCTTTCTCTATTTAGCACGCATTCCTCGAAGCCCATCATGCGGCCATCCTTCGAAGCCGAAGCGCGGAAGCTAGCTCAGATTCCCGATGACGTGGACGATGATGGCGGCGTAGAATCCGCGCTCCTGAAGCTCGAGGGCAAGTACGAGAAAAAGGCGAGGCCGCCGGCGTCGCCGCGGCCGAGGCTGGAAGACATTGGCAAGGCTCTAGGGGACCCTATCGCCGCCCAGGAAGAACGAAAGGAGCGGCGCCACCTGGAAATTCTGGGTGGAGACGACGGCGTGCTCAACCACCGGCTCAGCGGCATCCCCGAGCCATCCTCCGATGTGCACAACAGCTTCTTGGTGCCGCCGGAGCGCCCACTCACAGACGTTGGCTCATTCTTATCCTCGGACCCCTCGTACTGTTCGATTCCGCTGCTTGATCGGGGGTGATGGACGAGAGCCAAACAAGGCCGTCAACCTCTACGCAGGAATGGGCGGATATCTCGATCCTTCGTGGGGCCGACGACGAATCGCCCTACGAAAGCGAGCGGGAAAACGGCGAGGATACGGAAACGAGGCGTCGGCAAACGTCGTTTGACATGATTGACGAAACCGATTCCATGAGGCGAATTAAAGCGGCCGAGATCTCTCGGCCTGCGGGACCCGTCGATAACGAACGGCAGGATGATGATGTCGATACCTCTTTCCTAGACGACGCGAGCGACGCAGGCGCTTCGGACATCTCGTCAGAGCTGTCGGAGTCACCCGACGCGGATGGCTACGCGCTAGGTTCGACCGGCTTGGTGTCGCCACGCCGCGGATTTATCTTCGCCAAGGGCATGCTCTCTCCGCCGCTCGAGCAGTCGACCAACGTCGCCGAAATCCTCCCGTTATCTCCAGAAGCCGCCAATGTCCCTCGACTTCACGAGCACCAGGTGTGGGAGCGGAAACCGCTGACGCCCGACACGACGCCCACGGCGCTCTGCCGCTCAAGGTCACCTAGCGACCCATCCGGGACAGCAAGCATGCACGACGCCGAGCTCAGTCGCAAATACTCGGCACACCTTCCTTTCATCCTAGCGTTTGACTCGGAGATCCTTGCTCAACAGTTTACGCTCATCGAGAAGGACGCGCTCAACGAGATTGATTGGAAGGAGCTCATCGACATGGAGTGGAAGAATGCGACGAATAACGACTCGCGATCGTGGGTCGACTTCCTTCGCAACACGGACGCGCGCGGGGTGGAGGTAGTCATTGCACGCTTCAACATCATGGTCAAGTGGACCATCTCGGAGATTGTCCTCACGCAAGACATTGAGGAGCGAGCTCGCTGCCTAGTCAAATTCATTCACATCGCTTCCCACAGCCGTCGCTACTGCAACTTTGCCACGATGGCGCAAATCGTCATCGCGCTCTCGAGCCAGGAGGTGACGCGGCTCTCGCGCACCTGGGCGCTCGTACCGGCGCGGGACCTGCGGACGTTTCAGGACCTCGAGCAGCTCGTGCTGCCCACGCGCAACTTTTACGCGCTCCGCGCCGAGATGGAGGGGTGCCGGCACCGGGTGCATCCCGTTTGTGGGCATCTACACGCATGACCTGCTCTTCAACGCGCAGCGGCCCTCGGAGATTGCCAGCTCGCCCACAACCGCGCCGCTCGTCAATTTTGAGAGGTGCCGGTGCTCGGCCAGCGTGGTCAAGACGTTGTTGAGACTTCTGGAGGAGAGCACGATGTACGATTTCCAACCCATCGAGGGCATTACCGAGCGATGCTTGTGGATGAGTGCCCTTACGGATGAGCAGATTCGCCGGCATTCGGAGAGTCTCGAGTGATGTGGGCGAACGAACTTGCTCCTCTTGATGTGCGACGGGTGGACTGCGCCAACTTCGCGTCTGGCCAACTCTCTTGTATCTTTCCTTCCAACCACCCCTCCCAAATACAACAACCCTCAACACTAATCACCGGGCGCCTGTCACCGGGCTTGGCCTCCAAAACGAGGCCTTGGACATGGCGCCAAAAGAAACACGGCCTGCCCTCCTTCCTCTATGGCAGCGAGCCACCGTCTAAATTTGCCCTTTATTCAAACCAACCATACTCTATATCCCCATAACCTACTCACTTGATACGCACGATCATGTCATGCACCGGCGCAGAGGGTACAGGAAGCCAACATTTTGATTTTTGGGCATGTTTTTTTCTTTTCCTGCTGTTTCGGCCTGTTTTTTTTCATTTTGGCTGCTCTACTTGGCCACGGGGTCTAAGGGACCCCTTGTTCCGTGTTTAAGGTCTCCCTATCTCGATTTGTTTCCCTTGCCGTTTTTCCCTCATCGGCTCTTTCTTCGGCGAGTATCATCGTTACAATACCCCTTCTTCCGTTTCACGCGGCGTTTCTCTCCATTTTTACAATCTGCTCTCTCTTGTTTGGATCAGGGACTAAGGGGAAAGCTGAGGACGAGGTGTTTATTTTCCCCCTCTCTTTCTGATAAACTGAAGAGATGGCCCAATGCTCTGTATCACGTAGATGTAGTCGCGTTGACGGGAACCTACTTTTGGGACCGTCGCCAAAATGGAAAATTTTGAAAAGCATCAATCAACCTTTTTGTCCTGTCTTGCAATGTGACCTAGCTGGCTTGTGAGCGAAGCTCTTGAACCGGGTGCAACGGAAACGGGAGTGTGATGCAGTAATAATAGACCAGGGGCCCACGAAGGGCGAACGAAGTTGTATGCTGACTAATCGGCAACGACCTTGTTGGCTCGGACGTCCATGCGATAACCAAGACTTGCTCGACAACGCAACTCCTTCAGGTCAAAAGGAGCTATAGGGAACGACCCGTCCCCGCCGCCGCTACCGCTCCTAGTTATCTTTGGCGGGCAGATTCTTTTAGATTCTCGCTGTCTTTGGGGCATTTGGCATCCGGAGAAGAACAGTCTTTCAGTGTGCGAATAGGGGTGGACCTTGGCTCTCATCTCACTTTTCACCAACATTCCCTCTCTCCCTTACGGCCATAGTCGTGGATTGCCAGGACCTACAGAGGCTTTTATACCCTCCGTGCCGACATTCTTAACTCTCCTAGGTTTCTAGAAACGTTCAAAAGGACGAAACCGACGCGAGGCCAGTCCGGCGGGGACTCGCTTCCTTCTTCAAGCTTTCTAGAAAGAGAAAAAAAAAAAAAGGGAATCAAACCAAGCCAAAGCAAAGCACCATGGCAGAGGAGGAAATTCGGGACGCGTCAGTCGAAGACGACGGCGACGCCGCCATGCAAGCCATGCTGGGCTTCTCGGCCTTTGGAGCGCAGAACCCCAAGAAGCGCAAGTTCTCCGGCACGGTCGTGGGCGCGCCCACCGCCTCCGCGGCGCAAGACGGAGTGCCGAGCGCCGGGTTACCTCCCCGCCGCCGGGCTTGCCGTCCCGCCCGCCCCCGGCGACGACGACGACGACAGGGAGCCCCGAGGAGCAAGGCTTCGAGCGCGGGCACGGACACGGACACGGACACGGACACGGGCATCAACACCCTTACCGCCCGCACCAGCAGAGGAGCCAGCAGGCGCGGCAGCACGGAGCCGGCAGGACGGATCCGTGGTGGGACGGCTACTACGACCCCACGAGTAACGAGAACCCTTGGGTTCACGAGGAGAGGAAGCTCGGCCTCGACGAAAGGGAACTTGGCTGGCCAAGGCCCACAGGCACCCCAAGGACTGAGTCGGCCGTGCGATTTCTCCAGTTTTCGACGCTCCACTCTCCGTCGACACCTCCCCCCTTTTTTTTCTTTTGGGGAAGTTCAAGGGCGGAGATGGAAGCCGGGACCAGTTGGGAGGGGGAAAAGGAAAAAGGAAATGATGTCTCTAGCAAGAGTAGTGTCGTCCTCCCTCCCCAAATCAAGCAAGCAAGCGACACAGCAACTTCCGACCTGGACCCCAACCCCCAATCCTACGTCCTACGAACTTGGAGTGGCTACCACATGGAACCGTGGACCGGTTATTGTGTCACGTGACACTGGCGTTTGTGCCAGCTGCAAAAGCCGCTTTCGCAGGCCAAGACTAGACTTACATCATGGCTGAGCGAACCTTGGGCCATCTTTACACTTATAACCTGGCTCTCAGCGTTACTCGGAGATGGCACATAACAACACCAGCTCACCACACGGATTGTCACATGACGGCAACGCGACGGGCCAGCACGAACCACGTCGTCGTGAGGGAAAGTTGCACTGTCTACGGCTTCAAATTTTACCGAGGGGGAGAGGGGGAGGGCGGGGTGGTGGGCACGCCGCTACCCCGGGTGGAACCGTGAACGAAGCCTTTATTTTCAAGCTTACTATGAGAAAATATGAGAGAGCCACCCCATCCTGTTGCCAACCTTGGCCCAGTACAACCTGAATATCAGAGTCCCCCACCCAAAAGGAAATTTAACGCACTACAAAGACCAGGCCCTCCCTGAGCCACACATTCATTTGCTAGCCAAATGGGATACCATATTCTCCAGACATCCCTATCCCCCCTTTACCGTCACCGCTGGGTTGCTATCCCATCCGCCCTCCGTTTTCCCAAAGGAGCAACGCCTAGCTATCTCCTCGGGAATCCGTTGGGCTCCTGGCCGAGACAGCCTAGGGGCATGGAACCCTCTCGGCCGAGCGGGGAATCAACTCAGTCTCCTCGTCCGCTCCGTGGAGGATCTCTTGCCCTTGGACACTAGTCGATTTTTCCCCTACCCCCTCCCTCCGCCACAAAAGCCTTAGGGGGTGCGGAAGGAGTTTGCGAGGGAGGAAGAGGGGGACCCCCGCCTTCTACCGTTCCCCCTCCCTGCTGCTCGTCACATTCTCCCCTCGCCGCTCCCACATATCCCGGCGCCCTTGTTTCCAGAAATAGCGCTCATGGGAGGTGTACTTTTAAAAAGAATGCGTCGCAAAATCATTCCAAATCGTCCAATCATAAGTCATAGCTTCGTGAAACCAAACTTGACAGTCTTTCCCCCCTGCCTTTTCTCGCCCTCCCACGTCTCCCACGTCTCCCACGTCGCCCACCCCTCCCCCTTTCCACCCTCCTTCACATCTGCATTCTCCAAGCAGCTCAGCGGGCCGAGGGTGCATGCCAGGCACAACCCAGCCCCTGCGCCCTTGTTCACCTGCAGATCGGCAGATGTCCCGCGCGGTTGGGCTTCGGGCCAGCGCCTAACCAACTTCCTCCTCCGCGGCAAACGCTAGGGAAATCCTTCCCTTTCAAGAAGGGGAAAAAGCCGCTTTTTCGGGCCCTGAGAATGCGGGGAGCCGGAATGCGCGCTTGGGAGAAGGGTGGGGGTGTGTGAGGGAAAGAAGAGGGAAACGCCTGCAGTTGTTCCCCGCCATAAAATAAACGAACCATTCCAACCGTGAACAGTGACAAGATATCCGATCCGCCCCGTGTCCCCCATTTTTGGTTCCTGCAGAAATCCAAAAGCTGGGGTGTGTGAGCTAATAGTCTAACTCACCAGGGGGTGGGGCTGCCGTAATCGTAGATGAACCAGGGGTAAGGGGGAAGAAATGAGGCTCAAAATCCTCAACGTCGAAAAGAAAGTTGCCGCCAAAACGCCTGCCAGATTTGTCCTTTTCCCATTTCCGAATTTGCCCAAAGAAAAAAACACAGCCCAAGAGTATTTTGGTTTTTTACTCGGGAGAAGGATATCGAGTCCTGGCCTTGGTGTACTCCTTGGGATGTTTGCGGGAAGCCTTGGACTTGAGAGACCTGTTTGTGCGTCCGTGTTAGTCGTGTTCGCAAGCTCGCGCAAAACCAAAAATCGCGTGTAAGCGAAGCTTGGCCGTAATCCGATTTCCAAGTCGCCCGCGCAAAACAAGCTCGTTTTCTCCCTTTCTTCGGTTTTTCCCCTCATTTTCCAGCTCTTTCTCTTCCTCTCCCCGCAGCTGAGAAAGAACTCGGGAAAATTGCTAAGGGTGGGTGGGCCCAGCGATTTTGGGATTCTGGTAGGAACTCACTTCATCTTCTTCTCCGTCCACTCGAGATCCTCGCGAACTTCGCGAGCATCGCGGAGACCGTCTTGGAATCGCTCTCGCGTCTTCGCGAGGCGAGCCTGCGCCTTCTTTGGAGCTCAAGGAGCTCGCGGTGCTTGGCATTTAGCATTCCGGATCTAGCGAGGCGCATAAATGCTGGTTAGCTTCGAATTTTGTGTATCTCGGCAGGCGTTCTCCGCTTGCAGAATTGCGCGGGAGAGCGTGCAAAAAGGCGAGAGAAGCAGATCGCGAAAAGGACCACCGTATAGAGATGATTCCAGAATACGCGTAGAGGAAACAGTTCGCGGAAAACAGAAAAGGGGGTTGGCTGCTACTTACGTTTGCGCCTGGGTGGCCATGCTCTTGTCGAGCGGAATGGGGTTAAAAGAGCTGGAGAAGCGATCTTGCATGTACTCATTGAAATCCACTCCGTTGGCGGAATGCGCGCTATCGTAGTCGCCGCTGCCGGCATAAGAGGAAGAGTCGTAACCGCTGTTGCTGTAGGAGGCAACACCCGAAGTGGAGCTGAGATCGTCATCGATTTCCGGCGGGGAAACCGAGTAAGCGCTAGAGTAGCCCGAAGAGTACTGGCCGCCCTTGGTGGGCACGCGCATTGGCAGAGAGTAGGCGGGAGTATAGTGGGTAGACATGATGGGCTAACGGGAATCTGCGAAGAGGCAAAAAGAGATGTGGGAGAGAAGAGAGGAGAATGGTAGGCAAGTGCGTGGGCGTGATGTAGGACGGGTCGGACAAGAAGTCGACGCTGTGGAGTTGTCCGGCGAGGGTGATGAGCTCTGGTGGAACACGGAACTGCCACGAGAGCAAAGAGAGACTTTGTGGGGATGTTTTGAGGGATATGGAGCAGAAGGCTACTTGGTGTGCCAGGGGTATACTGGAGTAAGACTTGGAGAGAAGTGTGTCTTAGGTGGACCGACAGAGATTGGGGTAGAGGCAGGCTTTGGCTCAGGGCAAGACAGCAAGCTAGATTCGAGAGGAGATGAAGAGTTGTTTGGAACTTGGGGAAAAGAAGGAGGAAGAGAAGACAGGATGAAAGCGAACTTGCTCGATCACAACCGCTCCTTTTATACTTTTTCTGGGAGCTCAAAAGCCCATTCTCTCGTGATCGGGGACCTTAGATCCTCAGACTCGATTCGCCAAGCCCATCCCGACCCCCGCTCGAGGGCGAGAGCGCGACCAAGGAGGACCATGGCATGATGTGACGACACACGGCACGAGGGGGACAATTAGGTTACGAAGTACAGTACAGCGGAGCGGAGACATGGGATATGGTCCGGAGACTGCTCGAGGATGAATCAAGACGAAAGGGGGTGGGAATGGAGAAGAAAATCCTCAAGCGCTAGCCCATGGATTCACCTCACCTCCCCACCCCCTTCGCTTTGGGGACTCGGGGGGATATCGTGGAGGACATGGCAGACGGAGCGTGCGTTTGCGAGCCAACGAGAAGCCAGCACGAGGCACGAACCTGGACCGCCGGGGGTGGGGAGGTAAGAATTGGATATTTGCTACGGCACAAGAAAACCTACGGGAACTCTGCTAGGTTGATAGGGAGGGAAAGTGGGACCGTGTGCAAGTTTCGTTTTCATTTTATCCAAGGCCGAATGGGAGCGAACTAGGCGTTTGGCGTATCAAAAAAGTTGCAAGTATCCAACGGGACGAATGCCGAGGGAATCCATCGAAATCGATATGATATTTCGGTAGGCAGGTAAGGGAGGGAGGGGTGTACCAACCCGGGGGCGTAAAAGGCAGAGGGAGGGTGTGGTCGTGGGCGTGGGCTTGGGCTTGGGCGTGGGCGTGGGAGGCGCAAGATGGACCAGGGAGGGGGTAGCGCAGAGAGAGAGAGAGAGAGAGAGAGAAGAAAGTAGGCGAGGGACTGCGCTAACAAGGAAGAATGAAAATGGAGGCTATCAATTTGAAAGCGAAAACAGAGACGTGTGCATCAACGGGTGAGAGAAACAGCCAAAGAGGGCAGGGTCGGCTAGACGGGGCAAAGTGCACGCAAAAGGGTGCATCGGGATTGGGGATCAACTCAAAAGGTGATCGGGGGCGGCGGGGGAGGCAACGCCAGGCCAAGAAAAGAATTGGTATGGAATGCAAAATTGTGACATCAGCTAATGGGATAGAAAAGGAAAACAAGAAAAAGAAAGAAAAAAAGAAAGATGGAAAAAGAAAGAGCGAATATATCGGAATGGGTGGCAGCCACATTTGGGGATCTAGTGCAAAAGTAGGCTAAGACTAGTGTAGTTTGTTTGGAGGTGGGGGCGAATCAAGGGACGGTTGCAGTCGAATAATGCTGAAGGGTCTGGAAGGCATTGGATCGGGGTTGAGGGTAATACGCATGTCCCCATCACCAAGTGACGGGCAGGGGGAGGGGAGGATAAGAACAGCCTGGTAGCACCAGGCGAACCATTAAACAACATACATACAGTCAGGGACAAGATGACTAGAGAGCATCAGACAATGGATCATTGATCCGTTGCGACTTGGCCGGGCACCAGGACCAGGCTCGGATTGGGTCCAAGTTGCTCATGTGGTGGAGGATGCAGGCAAGCAAGTCCAGTATACTTAGAGGAACATCGACCTACCACCACCGTGCAGCAGGAACTGACGGGTCATTGGCGAGGAAAACAATTGGGAGAAACAAAAGGGAAAAACAAAAGGGAAAAAGAGGGAAGACAGCCCTCTCGCCTACTGCAAGATTACCGATGAGGTGGGGAAGCGCGCTTGAGGTCGGCCGTGGGAAAGAAAAGATATTCAGACCTAAATTGATGTCGGTGATTGAGCAAGGTGTAAAATGATGTCTGTGGATGTGTATGTATAGATGGATGTGTGGATGTGTCTGTGTGTGCGTGTATGTGTGCGTGTATGTGTTATGTGTATGTGTATGTGTTATGTGTATGTGTATGTGTAGGTGTGCGTGTGCGTGGTGTATCTGTGTGTGTTGATATGTGCCTGCGCATGTGTTTGAAGATATGTGTGAGTGTGTATGTGAGGGCATGTGTGCACTGGCACGCTTGTACGGGTGTATGTCGGTTGTCTCTCCTTGTCTGTGGAGAGAGTCGAAGTTGTGAAAATAAAGGGAAATGTGGTGAAAGATGCCAGACGTGCGTGTAAGACATGCCGCGCTACCAAATATCCATCCATTCCATGGGTCCTCGCACCTTCTTCTTTTTCTTTTGGGAGCGCATCCGACCTCCTTTCTTTTGCTCCTCGGCTTCTGCGCTCGCCCCATTACACGGGGCTAGGATTCGAACACGGGAAATTATGAGAGAAAGGGAGTTAGGAAAGAAACAAATCAATATATATCTAGATATATATATATATATATCTCTCTCTATATTATAAATAGTATCATAAATGAAAAAATAAAAATAAAAATAAAAAAAGATGGAAAAAAAAAGAGAAGTCCAACATGGAGAACAAAGAAGGTAAAGGGCAAGGGTACAGAAACCCGACTTTTCAAAGGATATCAAGCCATCCCAAGAGACTGAGCAAGGTAGGCAGACGAAGAAGGCTTGAAACCCACGACCAACAGAGACACATTCAAATAGAATGGTAGATGTATCAATCTATCTCTGTTGGGGAAGTGAGGTCGTGCAATGAAATGGCGGGACATGGATGCAGAGATTCAGAATGCAAAGTGAGCAATGTATGCAAGCTGGAACTCGGGCATGGCCATTCATAGAAAGATCAATCAAACGAGATGGCGCCGGGTCCCCTAGACTAGCATCTGGGCACACTGATCAGTCCCGTCCGGCGCGGTCCCCGTCCCTTGAGTACGCAGCATGGCGTAGGCATGAGAGGAGACGGTGAGATTAAAAAAGCATCCATGCAATCATGTATGCAGCGCATTGGGGTCGGTCCCGGTCCCACGATCCCAAATGACGGAGCTGTTATATAAAACGACACGAGACGGGCCGTGAGCGCAGCAGACAGCAGACAAGAAAAGGGGGCAGTAAAATAGACTCTGGAGATGGGCAGGCTTACCGAGATGGATTTGATGGATCTAATAGTTCTATCGGTTCATGGATATATCTTTGTGTAGAGAGAATTAGGGTGCGGGTGGGCAAGACCGAAGAGTGGATCGATCAATTGTGACAGAGATTTGGGACACTGAGTGACCCGAGACTCTTGGTGATGGTCCAGCGGATTCAAGCAAGGTGACCAGCCAGATCGCGCAACGTCACCGAGAATCGACAAGGCAGGCGCGGATCATTTTAGTTGGGGAACGGCTGTCAACCTGAGTGGCCGCTTCCCCGCCTTTCTCCCCACCACTCCCACGCCCTTTTCCTCCCTCCCTACGTTGACACGCCATTTGAGGCGGGGAGGGTGGTTAAGGGTTAAGACGAGACTGAAGGGAAAGACAAGAATTGTCAGGTTGAGTTCGATCCGGAATTGCGAAGTAGCAGTTATCAAGAAATCGAAGTAAATAGGCTTGGGCTAGGGAACGGGGTGGGGGTTTATTTCTGACGGAGAAGCATTGAGGTGGTTAATGGGAGGGTGGATCTAAAAATCTCTGGGAGGCCCAGCATTCTGGGGGATCAGAGAAAAGTTTAGGTGTAAGAGACACCAGCGTCCCCTGAAATAGATCAATGATGGATCAATTGATCAATCCATATCCTGGGCCGGATTGATTTCTACTATGATCATTACTCAGGCATCCCGAGAAGGCGGCCCCTGGTTCACAGCAACTTATGCTTTTGGTGGGTAGCCAGGAACCAAGGGACAGGCCCACCCATGGTTGATGGATCGATTGAATTGGATGTCTCTGGTTTCTACCCACCGTGCACCGTGCCGTGTTACGCTTTCCTCCGGGTGAGTCGCAGCAACCAAGAAAGGAAGCAAGAAGGGACATTCGGCCTTAACCCAAGGCGCAACACAACTTCTGTCTATTGTGTGTGGGAAGGGGCGACAGCGAAGAGCGGCGTACAAACGGGGACTTCCTGGTTCGTCATTGCCCAACCAGGCTAGACATTGGACCTAAGACCTGCAGGCTAGAGGGGAGTGGAAGGGTTGGTAGGTGGGTGATAACGGGACAGACAACAGCGTTTTCGTCCCACCCTCTCCTCTCTCTCCTTTCCTATTCCTCCTCGAGTACAATATGGTGTGGAAAGGGCACGGCATATTCATGGCGATATAATTCGAGCGACTTCGAGTGGGTGGATAAGTGAGCGGAGAACCTACAAGGCCGATGGGCATGTGAAAAGCAGGTTGCGCACCAAGTTCAAATTCTAGTGCACACTACTACGTGTGGCTGGGCTGACGAGAAAACGGGGCGGCTGGCTCGGAGCTGCTCGCACGACCCGCCGTTTTTACCGGTCCTGGCCGTTCCGGGACCCTTCGTCCCAGAGAGTTCGCTTACGGAGTATTATTACTTGGAGGAGGGCCCCTTCCCATTAATTGTGGATGCATTCGTGGTGGGGCACCACCACCTCCGGTTCCTTCATCGCCGTTCCTTCTGCTTCACGCAGGACCACCAACGCCTCTGATGCTCGAACTGAACCTGGAGTTTGCCTCTTCCTACCCAGACAAGGGGGACCAAAAGAAGAGAGATGGGATCTAGGAATACAAAAGGGAAAAAAAGGTCAGACAAAGGGAATTTTCCCTCCCTCGAGCACCAGGCAACCACGGC